CTCTATTTCCTTAATTTCCATTCTAATCTTTATTTCTTTCTGCTTGCTTTCAGGTTAGTTTCTTCATCTTTTTCTAGTTTCTTAAGGTGGAAAATCATTGATTTGAGACCTTTCTTCTTTTATAAGCATGTAGAGCTATAGATTTCCCTCTAAGTAATGCTTAATCTGCATCCCATATGGTTCGGTATGCTGTGTTTTCATTTTCACTCATCAAAAATTATTCTCTAATTTCCCTTTTAATTTCCTCTTTGACCTGTTGGTTATTAGTGTGTGTTGTTATTTCCACATAATTGTGATTTTCCAAAATTTCCTGCTGTTGTTGGTTTCTAATTTCATTCCATTGTGGTTAGAGAACATATTTTGTATTATTTCAGTCCTTTAAAATTTATCAAGACTTGTTTTATGGCCTAATATAATCTATCCTGGGAAACATTCCAGGTACATTTGAGAAGAATGTGTATTAGGCTTTAGTTAGATGGAGTGTTCTATAGATGTCTGTTAGCTTCTAGTTGGTTTATAGTGTTGTTCAAATCTTCTGTTTCCTTGTTGATTTTCTATTTGTTGTATCCATTATTGAAATGAAGTTTTGAAGTCACGAACTATTATTTTTGAATTGTATATTTTTCCTTCAATTTTGTCAGTTTTTTCTTCATGTATCTTGGGATCTGTTGTTAGGTGAATATATGTTTATAATTGTTATAGTTTCTTGATGGATTGACCCTTGTATCATTTTAGAATGTCCTTTTTGGTCTCTAGTAACAATTTGTCTTAAAGTCTGTTTTTTAAAATAGTAGTATAATTTAATTTCACTCTCATTTTGAAGGATAGTTTTCTTGGTTATACAATTCTTAGTTGGCAGTCTTTTTTTTTTTTATCACATTGAACACATCATTCCACTGCCTTCTGGCCTCCGTGAGAAATCAGCTGTTCATTTTATTAAGGATCCCTTGTATGTGATGAGTCTTTGCATTTTCAAGATTGTCTCTTTGTCTTTCGAATGTTTGATTATGATGTGTCTAAGTTTGGGTCTCTTTGAGTTTATTGTATTTGGAATTTATTGAAATTTTGGGTGAGGATTAATGTTTTTCTCAAGTTTGGAAAGTTTTTGGTCATTCTTTCTTCAAATAATATTTCTGCCCCTTTCTGCTCTTTCCTTTCCCTCTATGACTCCCATTATGTGTGTGTTTGCTTGAGGGTGTTCCATTGGTCTCTAGCGTTCTGTTAATATTTCTTCATTCTTTTTTCTTTCTGTTCTTCAGGGTGGGTAATCTCAATTGATCTATCATCAAGTTCATTGATTCTTTCTTCTTCTAGCTCATATGTACTGTTGAGCTCATATGTACTAATGAATTTTTCATTTCAGTTATTATACTTGTCAACTCAAGAATTTTTATTTGTTTTTTTAAAAAATAATTTCTATGTCTTTATTGATATTCTCTATTTGGTGAGACATTGTTCTCATACTTTCCATTAGTTCTTTAGAGAAGGTTTTCTTTAGTTTTTGAACCTATTTAAAATAGATAATTTAAAGTCCCTATCTAGGGGGCCGGCCCCGTGGCTTAGTGGTTAAGTGCGCACGCTCCGCTACTGGCGGCCCGGGTTTGGTCCCGGGCGCGCAGCAATGCACTGCTTCTCCAGCCATGCTGAGGCCACATCCCACATACAGCAACTAGAAGGATGTGCACCTATGACATAAAAATAGCTACTGGGGCTTTGGGGAAGAAAAAAAGGAGGAGGACTGGCAATAGATGTTAGCTCAGAGCCGGTCTTCCTCAGCAAAAAGAGGAGGATTGGCGTGGATGTTAGCTCAGGGCTGATCTCCCTCACAAAAAAAATAAATAAATAAAAAATAAAGTCCCTATCTAGTAATTCTGACATCTGGGCTTCCTCAAGGACAGTTTCTATTGACTGCTTTTTTTTTTTTGGTGAGGAAGAGTCACCCTGAGCTAACATCCATTTCCAATCTTCCTCTATTTTGCATGTGGGATGCCTCCATAGCATGAGAAGGGATCATGCTAATGAGTAGACTTGGTCCACACCCGGGATCCAAACCTGCGAACCTGGGCTGCCGAAGTGGAGTGCGCGCAACTTTTACCACTTGGCCACGGGGCCAGCCCACTTGACTGCCTTTTTTTCTGTATATGAGCCTTACTTTCTTTTTATTTGCATGTGTCATAATCATTTATTGAAAACTGGACATTTTAAATAACATGATGTGGCAACTCTAGAAATCGTATCCCTTCCTCTTCCCAGGGTTTATTGTTGTTGCTGTTTGTTTGTTTAACAATTTTCCTGAACTAATTGTGCAAAGTCTGTATTCTTTGTCATGTGTGGCCATTGAGGTCTCTGCCCAGTTGGCTAATGATTGAACTGAGATTTCCTTGAAAGCTTTGAACCAATAAGTCTTCCAGCCTTTGCCAAGGGTCTCTGTGTGTATGTTGGGGCACACCTTCAAGGATATGCCAGGCAGTTTACAACTCTGCCTTAGCCTTCACCTCCTGCCTATGCAGAGCCTCAAGGTCAATCAGAAGTGAGAGATTAGGGCTCTCTCAGATCTTTCCTGGGCGTGTGCACAACCCTACTCATCAATGCGGCCTTCTCTACTCCCAGGAACATACTGGAGATTTTCAAACCCTCCTAGGAGCATCTCATTCCCCAGCTTTACCTTTTAAGTTTTTTGATCAGCTTTTTGTTTGCATCAACTGTTATCACTACCTTAGGCAGCTGCAATCTTAAACAATCATTGATGATTTTTTTCAACAAATTCTCCAGGAGAATAATTGTTTGCAGTCAGTGAGCTCTGAGTTAGGTCAAATAAAGACAAGCCCTGTGAGTAGGTATTTCCAGGAAACTTCCAGGTAGGTCAGATAATAACAGTTCTCTTGGGATGGGGCTTTGGGAAACTCCAAACCTCTTCTACCTCCTCTATAGTACTGTGATTGTGAGGTTGTTGTTTAAAAATTTTTTTTTTTTTGAGGAAGATTGGCCCTGTGCTAACATCTGTTGCCAATCTTCCTCGTTTTTTTCCCTTTTTTCTCCCCAAAGCCCCAGTACATAGTTGTGTATCATAGTTGTAGAGTTATAGCTCTTGTATACGGCACAGTGCCTCAGCATGGCTTGATGAGTGGCAAGTAGGTTCGTGCCCAGGATCTGAACTGGCACACCCCTGGCTGCTGAAGCAGAACGCGTGAACTTAACTGCTATGCCACCGGGCCAACCCCTTTGGTCTTTAAAGCTACTGCATTTCTTGAAAAAGGACAATGGAATTAGGGCAAGTCAAAGTAACCACAAAGCTTGGTTCTTACCAATAGTAGTTTTCTCAGATAAACACTCCTTGGATTTTGCAAGCATTTGGTTAATTTCCAAGGTTCTGAAAAAGTGGATGTTTATAATTTTTTCCAGTTTCTCATTGCTTTCACGGAGGGAAAGTTTTTTGCAGATCTTTACTCCACCTTTCCTACTGATGTCCAGGCTGTTACTTAAAACACAAAATAATAACACTTTCGTTTATTGTATAAACAACACAATATCAACAAGCAAACACTCACAAAAAACTCTTCACCTACAGTCCTACCTACTTAACACATCAACTTTTTAAAAAAATTCTATTTCTTGCCCACTGATATGAATACTTTTGGTACTGTTATAATCAAAGTCTAGATTTACTCTTATATTCTCCTTTTGTTACTTTACATCATATCATTATTTTTTATGCTACTTCATATTTTATAGAATGAACATTTTAATGATTAAAATTCTATCAAGTTTATGTGTTATAATAGTTTCATCATCTTTCTTTTTTGACCATTTAGGGGTTTTCAACTTTACCAGTTTTATATAAGGCTACTTATACTACAAGCATGTAGTTTACTGTTTAAAAAATATTTCCTTGGGATAAATTCTGTGTAGCAATGTTTGTAACAATCAAAGGCTACAAACATTTTATGCCTCAAGTTATTCCCAAAAGGATGTACTAATTTACATTTCCATCAATAATATTTGTGTTTCTTTACATCCTTTACAACATTGGTTGTTACTGATTTGTAATTTGTTAATAAAAATATATTAAAAATTATTAATGAGTTTAAACAACTTTTATGTCTGCTTAATTTTATGTGCATTTTCTATTCTTGTGGTGTTTTTTTTTTTTTTTTTTTTTTTTTTTTTTTGGTAAGGAAGATCAGCCCTGAGCTAACAACCATGCTAATCCACCTCTTATTTTTGCTGAGGAAGACCGGCTCTGAGATAACATCTATGGCCAATCCTCCTCATTTTTTTTTTTCCCCCAGAGCCCCAGTAGATAGTTGTATGTCATAGTTGCACATCCTTCTAGTTGTTGTATGTGGGGCGTGGCCTCAGCATGGCTGGAGAAGCGGCGCGTCGGTGTGCGCCTGGGATCCGAACCTGGGTCGCCCGTAGCAGAGAGCGCACACCCAACCGCCAAGCCACGGGGCTGGCCCCTATTCTTGTGGTCTTAAAAGTGCTATAGCTATCCCATGAACAATCGTTAATATTTTCTTCACTTCTGAAAAAATAATTAAGAGGTGGTCATATAGAATTTTATCAAGTGAAAGCCACTTTTAAATTGTTTTGCTTAATATTAAAATGTCTCAATTTTTGTCACAATTTTTAGAAGTACTAAATGACATCTTTTTTATCCTAGCAATAAAGCTACCCTTTTTAATGTTTCTTACAAGCTAGTAATGTTATGGCTTTCAGATATTCCCAGAAAAATCTCATCTAACTCCAGTTACAATTTAAAGAATCAGTTGACTTTTGTCAATGTATCCAATTATATCATACGTTGTTTCTTGAGGGAAATATATTTTGAATGTTAAATAGTTAATGTGCAAGCAAACTTTTAGAATGTATCATTTTAAAAGCTGAGAATTTATTTAGTGGTTGTACAAAGGAAAATGTTGCCTGAAATTGATGACTTTATACAAATTCCACAATGCTCCTTTTCTCTACAACTTAATCTGATTTTTGCTTTTTTCCAGTTTAAGGCCAATCCTCCTGCTGTGACTTTCAAACTAACTGGGGAGACAGATGGTATATTTCATATACAACCGGATGGACTTCTATATTACAACGGAACCCTGGACAGGGAAACAAGAGCTGTTCATAAGCTCGAGGTGAATTGAGACCACACAAAGGGCCCTAACTCCAACCTCTCTGAGCACCCTTGTCCTGGAATTGTGACTGGCATCTTCATCCCTTGCATAGAATCCTGTTACAGCTCTCCTGACCTTAACAGCATGCATTGCAAACTTCATTTGTCCATTTTTTACCCACTACAGAGGGGGACGGCAAGGGGACCTTCTTCCTTAGGCTTTTTGACCAGAGTAACCCAATTTACACTGCCAAGGCCCTCAGATGGCATTACTTGTCCAAGTATGGCCATACTCAGGCACCTGAATCAACACCGAGCCAGCACCTCTCTGATATTTTACTGGTATCTCCCTACGGCTACTGTGTGGGCTCTGGACTGACAAAGAAGGCAGAATAAGTGCTGGGATGGAGTTCCTGTGGGCCTTGCGAGAAACAGAAATAACCAATGGTCAGAGGCTGATGAAAGAGACCATTCTGCCTCTCTTTCCTTCTTAGTTTTTATGGTTGGTATCTGAATATTCAAGAATTGTAAAGAGCTAATTGTGGGGGAGAAAAGGGCAAATCAAAAGCTTTCTGTCTAGTACCTTCTGCTATTGGCTCTTCAAGATGACCACTAAACTGGCTCTGAAGGGGACATGGCACTTCCATAGCCTTAAGGGTCAAAGTGTTTTTATTTCACTGACATCAATTGTTTAGAAAAGAAGCACGCCCAGTGTCCAGCATACCCCACTGCTAGAAAACACAGTCATGATTAGCCAGCTTTAACTGAGAGGACTTCTATTTCAGCAGCTCTAAATCTGGGCATTTATGGGTGTCTTCCTCCCTCACAGTCGCCAGGTTATTGGTTCTTTGAGCTCTAATTTCCTTCAAGTGACTTCTGGGTGTGTGCTATGAAGTCCAGGCTCACCAAGATGATTTCCTTTTCCTTTTGACATCAGGTCTCAGCCTTGGATGAGCATGGAGCCACAGTGGAGGGCCCGGTCACCATCACCATAGAAGTGAAGGACATCAATGACAATCGACCCATGTTTCTCCAGTCAAAATATGAAGGCTCAGTAAGGCAGAATTCTCGCCCAGGTAATAGGCAGGAGCCTGGATATACTTATGGAAAGATGGAAGGGGATCAGGCAGAAGGGGCGGATTTGTGTAGCTAACTGCTGCAGCTATCACTCATTAAGCATTGACTGTCTTATTTAAATTTCACAGCAATCTCTGGGAGTTTCTTTATTATCTCCATTGCTCTAGGGCATGGTTTCTCAACCTTGGCACTACTGACATCTTGGGCCGGATAGTTCTTTTCTCATCAGGGGCTGTTCTGTGCACTGTAAGATGTCTGTCTAGCAACGTCCCTGACATCTACTCGCCAGATGCCAGTAGCAACACTTCCTCCCAAGTTGTGACAACAAAGATGTCTTGAGACATTGCCAAATGTGACCTGGGGGACAAAATCACCTCCAGTTGGGGCCAGCCTGGTGGCATAGTGGTTAAGTTTGTGTGCTCTGATTTGGCAGCCTGGGGTTTGTGGGTTTGGATCCCAGGTGTGGACCTACACACCGCTTGTCAAGCCATGCTGTGGTGGTATCCCACACACAAAACAGAGGAAGATTGGCACAGATGTTAGCTCAGGGACAATCTTCCTCAAGCAAAAAGGAAGATTGGCAACAGATGTTAGCTCAGGGCCAAACTTCCTCATCACAAAAAAATAAAGAAATTACCCCCAGTTGAGAGCCACTATTCCAGGGTGAGATTTGGAATATCTTAGAGCTCTCTAGAACACTCTGGAAAGGTGATCTCACTCTCCCAGAAATCTACATTCTCATGGTCACTGCTGGCTCCCAGTTCTTTTTCTTCTCTTACTTCCATCTCCTAGCTATGGCTCATCCCTTCAGATTCTTCTACCCTTCATTTCCACAAAAGCCTCTCATCAAGGCATAGGTGTATGCTGCAAGCTTTACTGAAGATTTGGGGAGATGAAGGAACATCACGTCATAATGGTGCACAAAATGAACATGACTATTAGACTTCCAAGTTCTCAGAAAGACTCTTGGCCTTTTCCATCAACTCACTGATAAGTTTCCTCTGTGCTACTTAATCTTTTCTCTCTCTCATTCTTGAATGCCCATTTCCAATAACTCAGGAAAAATATTTCTTCTACTTTATTATGTGGAGCAATTTCACTGTCTTTGTCCCTGAGATTGCATACCAAAGACTCACTGATAAGCTCTGCTAAATAAGAATCTTCCAGTTCTTACTCTTTCTCTTTTCACCAGCAGGATCTTCTAGATCAGTGATTCTTAAACTTTTTGGTCTCAGGGCTCCTGTATTCTCTTAAAAATTATTGCAGAGTCCGAAGAATTTTTGGATATGTGGGTTATATCCACTGGTGTGCTGGTGAATGTTTAATAGCTGTCTCTTTGGGGGAAAAAGCCCTGATTTGTAGCATTTGCCAATTTCTGTGGTATAAATACTCCTACCATGGCCTATTTTAAGCTATCAATGGTGTTAGTAACTGGCTTACAAAATTTCTGGAAATTCAACAATTGTCTCTCACGAGCTGGCTCTAGTACATCACTGGTTATTTCTATCAATATTTATCATATTAGAAATTAAAACTGAAAAATTAAAAAAATTTATTAATTCATTTTAAATAAGAATAAATATATTTTAATGAAAAATAACTATTTTCAAAGACAAAAAGAATTATTAAAAAGAATGGCATTGTTTTAACTTTGCAAATCTCTTTCATGTCTGGATTAATTGAAAACAATTGGATTCTCATGTCTTATTTCTGCATTCATTCTGTTGTCATATGCTCTTTCGGTTGAAGTGTACAAAAAAAACCCTCACCTCACAAAGATATGTAGTTGGTAAAGGGAGGAGTATTGTAATAGCATTTTCAGTTAACTGTGGATGTTCTTTGATACTATACCAAAACTCAACAAGTGGTGGTTTCTTTTTTTTTTATTATGTTATTGAAGTTGTACTGGTTTATGACATTGTATAATTTCAGGTGTGCACTATTATGTATCAGTTTCTGTATAGACTGCATTGTGCTCAACAAGTGGTGGTTTCTTAAAGGCTGGTTGCAATGTGAATCTGAAACCATATCAATGCTTTTTTTGATACTCCTTTATGCTAAAATCCATCAAATTATCTTGTGCTTTGAGTGAATCTTTTACACATGTATGAATTTTGACTCCATTGACCCTAAAAACAGTCTCAAAGACCTTTAGAGGTCCCTGGAGCATAATTTGAGAAATCCCATCCTAGGCGAAGAGAGCAGAATAAAGGTTTATTTCTCCACTGATATGAATTATAGCACCTTCCCCAATTCTATCTCTGCCTCTTAGAAGGCAAAAGTGGCTATGGCTTCAATTAATATCCTTTTTTTTTTTTTTTCTGGGTACGTTTCATTAAACAGGAAAGCCCTTCATGTATGTCAATGCTACAGACCTGGATGATCCAGCATCTCCCAACAGCCAGCTTATTTATCAAATTGTCATTCAGCTTCCCAAGATCAACGACATCATGTACTTTCAGATCAACAACAAAACGGGAGGAATTTCACTTACCCTAGAAGGTAAGTTGAGTGATGCCCTCATACGACTGTCTGAGTCAGAAAAAAGGACCTAGATCTGTGTCACCTTCAGAGACATTTCCTTTTCTCTTTTCTCCTACTTCATAGGATCTCGGGAACTGGATCCTGTTAAGAATCCTTCCTACAATCTGGTGGTCTCAGTGAAGGACATGGGAGGCCAGAATGAGAATTCCTTCAGTGACAGTGCTTCTGTGGATGTTATGGTGAAGGAGAATATTTGGAAAGCGCCAGAAGCTGTGGAGATTGTGGAAAACTCAACTGATCCTCACCCCATCAAAATCACTCAGGTAGTGCCCAAGGAATGCCTAGAGACATAGATCTTTACTAGATCTATGGCCTCACTTTGTAGAGGCCCACCCTCATGGTCTTCACTGATACATTTATTAGGTACGTTTTTGCATAGCATAATCATAAAGCAAACTAATTAGACAAAGTCTCTGGCCCCATCTCTGGCGTTTACCATTATAGGTAAGCTCTGGACTTTAACAACTTAGATTCATATATATATATTTGAGCTTTAAAACAGAACTTCACTTACTTTCACCATCCAAATAGATAGCACTGATGTTTGTTGTTCCCTGTCAGTAGTGTGAGATATGGCTGTACTAGAGTGGGTTGTATATGGGGCACGCATCATACACATGTACGTGATTTGAATTTGGGGTTGCAAATATTTTTGAAAGGCTGCTTCTTATTTTCATGGGAAAAATCTTTATCCAGTAGATTCATCCCATCATAGACTAAGGGACAGAGGCAGGACTGGCCAAGAGTAAGGGTTGAGTAGGCAACCTTTGCCGTTAAAGACCACCCTCCCCCAATTCCATCTCCTGTGTGTACCTCTCCTCTCCACTCAAATACTCCCCCTTCCTACCTCAATGGCTGATGTTCTCACCCTGGGTCCCTTCCTTCCTTAACACCTGGAAATCCACTCTGGGCTCCACTCAGATCTGATCTTTTCTGGAACATCAGGAGGTTCCTTGACATGAAAGCTGTGGGTTAGTGAGAGAGCACTGGATTTGGAAGCAGAGAACCAAAACCACAATCCTTGCTCTATTACTTTAATGATTGATCATGAATAAGTCATTTAACTGTTCTGAGCCCCAACCTCTCATCAATAAAATGGGGATGATAACGCCTCTCCGAGTTGTTGTTGAGGTTAACTGAGAGGTAGAGTCTGAAAGCAGATAAAAGGTAATAATATTATGAGAGAGGCCACATCTGTAGTTCCCCTAAGATTTTTTTCAAATGACACTGTTGTTAAGAGGCCCTGGAGCGGCCCATCCCATCATATCTATTGTCTGACACGAAACGATTTTTATTTATTGAATGTTGAATTAATGAATTCGCCTTCAGGAAAGAAAATAAAAGCAAGAAGTATTCTGCTTTACCAGCTAAGAAAGTATGCTAGGACTCACTACTGTGAGAATTTCAGATTTGCAGCCTTTACTAAAGTCTTCCTATTTGTTATTTAGGTTATCCCCATAGAGACTTGTAAATGCTAAAAAGAATGCATATGCTTGTTTCCTCTGGGGGCTGGCAAATAAAAGAAATTTAGGGGTGCCACACCCAATACCCAGGCCTGGAAAGGTACTTTGGGTGTCTTGAAATCCAGGAGGAAGAGTGGACGGGGACAGCTCAAGAGAGGAGAACTCTGACTGAATTTTTAGGGCACAAGGGAACCAAGAGCATGGTCTTTGGCCTGGACAGAGGGTGGTGCTTAAATAACTAGCAAGGGACAATGGTGTCCTTGACACCCTTCCCAAGCTGGTCCGAGAGAGTAGGTTAGTGTGGAAATTTCAAATAGCCATAGGACCTTGTGCAAGTCATTTAAACTTTTTGTATCTTAGTTTCCTCATTTATAAAATGGGGATAACATAGTCTCTATCTCACAGGGCTGTTTGAGGATATAAGGAGATGACACATAAAAGTGTTTAGAATTGTGTCTGGCATGTGGTAAACCTTCAGTAAGTGTTATTATTAGTATTGGAATATCAGAGAGGTCAGGCTTTATCTGTAGCAAGTAGACTGGTCTTACTATTGAGTTTATTTATTTTTTTGCCAAGTTGTTTAAAAAATAATGTTAGGAGTTGACGATTATTCTTATCCCTGAAGTCTTTATTCAGGAGGAATGTGCTTTATTCATGTATCATTTGTCTTCATAAGGGCATGGGGGAGAGTTTCAAGTGTCTCCTATTGCTCTTCTCATCTTCATTGGTGAGTTTTAGAAGCCTGTCAGACATCATGGCTTAGTCCTCAGATAACGGAAAGTACTACAAAGTACATTTTGTTTCTTAAATTAATATTTCACGGATCTGATGCCATCACAGTCAGACTTCCGAAAGAACAACCCACAAACTCTTAAGAGGGTTCACAAAGAATTGCTTTAGAGAAGAAAAATACCCCAAGTGTTTTTGAGCAATATAACTTGGTAAAAAAGAAAAAAAACTTATTTTAGGTTGAAAATGAAATATGTAATTCAATAATTATAAGAAACCACAGATGTGCAAACAAGGTTGTCAGAAATTTCAAATTGAGAACCAGAAAATTGTTTATTTCCTTTCCAGTTCTCTCAGTCCAGGTTTATCTTTCCTCACAATTCACTTTGGCCCCTGTAGGTGCGATGGAATGAGCCAGATGCACAATATTCCTTAGTTTACAAGGAGATGCTGCCAAGATTCCCATTTTTAATTGACCAGGAAGGAGATATTTATGTGACTCAGCCCTTGGATCGAGAAGAAAAGGATTCAGTGAGTAAAACTGGGAGGAGTTTCACAGACGACAAGACAAAGTCCCAATGCCCATGGACAGCTGGGAGAAGAACTGATTTTCCTTAAAAAATCAAAGAACCCTGGGACTGTGTTCTGAACCCTAGCACATTCTTGCTCTCAAAGACATGATAATTTCCCCACAAATTATCCCACTTCATTTTTTCTTATTTCTCAGTTCTAAGTAAACTGAAAATAAGAGGGTAAATGAAACAGCTGCTTTCTCTGCCTTTTGAAGGGGCTGATGAGGGAGTCACATCTTAACTCTGATTTTCCTGTTGTAGTATGTTTTCTATGCGATTGCAAAGGACGAGAATGGAAAACCACTTTCATACCCACTGCAAATTAATGTGAAAGTTAAAGACATTAATGATAATCCACCTACGTGTCCATCTACAGTCACTGTATTTGAGGTCCAGGAGAATGAAAAAATAGGTAAGAAATGAGAGCTGCTCAAAGCTGTGTAACTGTCCTCCCTATGTGAACTCTATAATCCCTTTCTCCTCTCAGTCTGATAAAAGGTGGGCAGGTAGACCTGATTGGGGATCAATTATTCATGTCTGGTACAGCATAGAGGTTGAATGCGCCTTGACACTCACACAGGTACAGTATTTCAGCTCAAACAGTATCTGGTGCTGTTCTTAAATTGGAGCGTTTACAACTACCACTACTATTTCTGTTACCACTCTTACTACTACTACGACCACCCTTACCACTACCACTAACACCATAACCACCTACATCAGCATCCTGTATACATATATAGGGTTATCTCATTTGCAAGATTTTCCCATAGATTCTTATTTGCCCTCTAATAGACTCAGTAACAGATAAAATCTCATCAAATTTGCTAAATAATTTAAATAAACATTTACACACAGTGTCAGATACCCTGCAATAAGCAAGCACTACAATTGGAAGTTGGCTTTTGATCCTTGATCCTCTCTCTCTAGGAAGCTGATAACAGTTCAGGAGTCTGGTAGATGAAGTCCAAGTCCTATGTATTTTTGTCCTTTTGTTCTTGATTTGCTTTGTTTCCTTTTACTGTGTCTCATAATAGCTTTAGTTTTGTATAGGGACAGCTACTATGAGAACATTATGATTTTGGGAGTTTTATGACTTCCCTGGATTTGGGACACCTCTTGTCTATTACCCCTTGGTGTTGAGCACATTGGCTGAGCAGGCTGGCAGTTCTTGAAATGCTTTTGTCTGTCATTTTATGTAAGTTTCAGAGGCTTACAAGGTGAGCAGCTTCTTATGACTGCCATTCCTAGGGCTTTGCTGCTCACAAGGGCAGATTCTCACATGACTTGTGGACACTCTCATCATTTTCTTTTGATCTCTCTGCTCTTCTTGCCACATGCTTTTGACACAGTGGGTGCTGTCCTGGAGGCTTGGTGAGCACCGCTCACCTGGCTTGCTTGCTCAATGCTCTTTTCTTTCCTTCTTGCTGTCGGGAGCCATATGCAGGCTGCCTATTGTCAGTGTGTTCTGCTTAGGTCCTCTTCTTTTCATTTATTCCAATTCTTGCTGCAAAAGGAAGTATTAAATGACAACTTGAAGGATTTTAGTTAATTATGAGGAAGAATCTTTTAACAGTGACAGTTGTGTAACAATGGAACGTGTGACAGTAGCCAGGAAACACTTGTGGCATTATCGTTTTTGGAAATTTGCATTGGTCTGTGATGCTGAATGAAGGCAAAAGACCTTTGAAGACGTTTCTAGATGATACCTCAAGTCTCTTTGCATAGGGCCTAACATTTAATGGTTAGTTATCAAGTGTTGCATAACAAATGGCCTCTAAACTTAGCAGCTTAAAGCAACAAACATTGCTGGGTGCAGCTCAGCTGGGCACCTTTGATTCAGAGAGAGAGAGATTGGAAAATGGCAAGCAAGATGGAAGTCAGTCTTTCTACAACCTAATCTTGGAAGTGACATACCGACACTTTTGCCATATTCTCCTAGAAGCAAGTCGCTAGGCTCAGCCCACACTGAAAAGGAGGGGGTCACACCAGGGCATCCATGTCAGGAGGTGGGGGTCGTGGGAGCCATTTTGAAGGCTGCCTTCCTCATTTGGGAAGAGGACGGTACTAGTGTTCTGAGGCTGGTTAGGAAGTCATTATTGGTGGAATAAATTGTTCAGGGGCTCAGCATGCTATTTGCCTCTCTGAAAGCAGGAATTTATTTTGTAACTATATTTTGCAAAGTATTGAATAGTGGACTTAATAGACCAGGAATTCTTAGAAATTGACACAGATTAATTGAGTCTATTCTATATATGTAGCCGAAAAGAAGTACAAAACAATGCCTCTACCCTTTGTGGGCTTACTGTCTAGCTCAATAAAATACTGAATTATATCTTAGTATGTTCATATTCTCCTATTTGGTGTCTTATATCTGCCAGAATCTTGTGGGACGCATGTCCCCAAGTCTTAGCAATGTCAGCATTAATTCTGAAATCCCACTTGCTACCAAGTCCTACGTGTCCATACAGGAAATTTAGCCTCTCATAAAAGCCCCACTGCCCTAAAGTATTTCTGAGTGCCCCAAGAGCTGCTGTATATACCCCTGCATCGATTTGGGCTGCCACTTGTGCTGGCCTCCATCACTCAGAGACATGGCACTCCTTTCACTTGTGGCTCATCCACAAAGTCCTCTGCTCCCACTGAGTGGCATCTCTTACTGGAATTTCCCTGGTCGCTGATGTCAACAGTCCTTGTGGTGCCTCTGATAGCTAAGGTTTCCTGTGGAATGAGAGAAGAAGCGTCCTCTGTGTTATGCTCACTTGCTAAGGGGAAAGGTCCAAAACAGGGCTGCTCAGACACCAAAGGATCACGGAATTTAGTAACACACTCTTTCATTCAAACACACAAGTACTTTTTTTACAAGGGCACATCCATGCCACAAAGGTGACTTGGGTGTGATGGATTCAGAAATAACAGCGGTTCCTACACTGGATACCTATTCTCCTCTGCCCTGTTGCTCCTGATGCCCCCCTCTCCAGCCCATGAGACATGTCCAGCTCCGTTATAGACATAACATAGGTACTTCCCTCCAACCCCCCTGAAAAAAACCTTCCAAATTTCCATATGTCAGTGGATGCAAATTGATATGGGGGAGGGGGTGAAATCTAACTCCACAAATGGGGTGTATTCAAGTTGTAGCCTCAAGATGGGATTCTTGCTGCATGTAGAGAAACCCACAATTCCCATTTCACAGAGCAAGGTGATCCAGAACTTATCAGAACTCACCCAGAGCTGGGTGGAGCACTGAGTCATAGCCTCTGACTTCTGGAACTCCCTGGACTGAAACATTCACAGGAATAAAATACTTAGGGTCATAAACCACGGCAAGGCAGAGAGGATACATGCCTGTTCTTTGCCCTATGTTATCTTTGGGGTGAGTCAGTCTCTGCAATTGTTCCATAAAGTGGCTTAAATGTAACCTATGGTTGGCTTATCCTTGTTTAGTTATACCATTTGCCTTGTGTATTAGTGTCTGAGAGTGGCCATAACAAATTACCACAAACTTAGCAGCTTAAAACAACAGAAACTTATTCTCTCACAGTTCTGGAAGCTAGAAGTCTAAAATCAAGGTGCCAGCTAGAGGAGAATGCTTCCTTGTGTCTTCTGACTTCTGGTGGCTCCTGGCATTCCTTGGCTGCTTGTGGCAGCATTACTCCAGTCTCTGCCTCCTACTTCACACTGCCTCCTCCTCTGTGTGTGTCTCTGCATCTTCTCTTTTTCTTATAAGTTCACCAATCACTGAATTTAGGGCCCACTCTAAATCCAGGATGATTTCATCTCAAGATCCTTAACTAATTACATCAGCAAAGACACTACTTCCAAATAAGGTCACATTCGAGGTTCCTGATGGACTTGAATTTTTGTGGGACACTTTGTTATGGGCTAAATTGTGTCCTCCTCAAATTCATACGATTAAGTCCTAACCCCTAGTACCTCAAAGGGTGACTATTATTTAGAAATAGGGTCTTTAAAGAAGTAAATAAATTAAAATGTTGTCATTAGTGTGGGTCTTAATCCAATATGACTGGTGTCCTAAGAACAGGAAATCTAGACACAGACATGTACAGAGGAATGACCATGTGAAGACATATGGATAAGACAGCTATCTACAACTCAAGAAGGAAGGTCTCAGAAGAAACCAACTCTGCTGACGCCTTGATTGCAGAACTTGAGCCTCAAGAAACTGTGAGAAAATAAATTTCTGTTGTTAAAGCTACCCAGTCTGTGGTCCTTTGTTATGGTGGCCCTAACAAACTGATACACTATTTAACACACTACACTATGAAAAGGGTTAGAAGAACCAAAATACATCTAAGAACTTTAGGCTGCTACTCAAAAGTTATTTACAGTGCTTTCTAAGAAGCTGCTTATCCAGTGAAACCATTTTTTAGTAGATTAAATTGAAGCTGTAATAGATGGGTTTTTTTCTTTCCTTTTCTACAGGGAGCAGTATTGGAACTCTTGTTGCCCGTGACATGGATGAAGAAAACACCATCAACAGTGTTTTAGGATACAGAATTGTGGATCAGTCCCCCAAGTCTCCCAGAGAAGGGCTCTTTCTGGTCGAACTCTACACAGGAATGTTCCAGTTGGCCAAGCAGTCCTTGAGGAAGCAAGACAGTCCTCAGTACCACTTGACAGTAGAGGTGTCCGACAAAGGTCAGTATCACATTCACTGTCAAGAGTGAAAATACTTGTTTTCCTTCTACTTGCGATTTGTTAGGCTGCTCTGATGCCTGGGTATGTTATGGAAGGTTGCCGTTAAGAGTTCTTGCTTCCTATGTAAAACACACACGCAGCATGGAGGCAGCTGGTCCAACATCCTAAAGGCCAGAGTTACAGCTCAGGCAATATTACGTGTTGGGTCCAGTCTTCTGAGATGCAAGTGCCAAGAGGGGATGAAACACACAAGGATTTTATTAGAGGAAATGCCTGTGGAAAAAAGATGGGGAGGGGTACAGAGAAGGCTGGCAGAGCCATTAGACTGCAATAAAGCCTGACCCTGAGTGAGGGAGAGGGGGAAGGAAGGCTGGAGAGACCACTGAGCAGGCAAAGGAAAGTTCGGCAAGGTCATTGGAGAGTCCAAAGTTGGCTGTCGAAGGAGTCCATGATCTCCAAGAACGGGCCTGCCTCAGCCTGCCTGCCTTGCTCAGTTACTGATTGGGCGCCACGGGAAGCAAGGCCTCGGTGCAAACGTGGTGATGGATTTTAGAGCCCTGCAAGCACATCATCAGTTGAGAACCCTGTTGTTGGAGGTTGGCAAGGCACATTCTTGTGGACACCATGATCACAAACAAGAAAATTAATTGTATTTCCCAATTCTCCCTTTCAGACTCAAAGGATTCTACTGTATGAAAGTAGAAGAAAAATGCACCTTTTGGGAAGTTTTGTCATCTCCTATCAACTTCTAGTTGTCCATTTGCCAGTATCAGGAGACAGTCTTCCCTACTCCTTATACAGTTTCAAAGCAAGTGGTTCTTAATCTTAGTTGGATCACAAAACCCTTTGAGAATCTGATGAAAACTGTGAATTCTTAAATAAATGCCCACATTCTCAGACAAGTGTGCACAGGCACACAAACGTACATGTATTCAGAGACAGACTTACTTTAGGGGCATGCACACTCCTAGGTTAAGAATCTTTCTTTGAGTTAACTGGCACTGAATCTTAGATTACCAAATAGTTCAGTAATTCTTACGCTAGAAGGCACAGATTATAGTCATGTGCCACATAATGACGTTTCAGTCAATGACGGACCACATATATGACAGTGGTCCCATAAGATTAGTACCATATAGCCTAGGTGTGTAGTAGGCTCTACCTACTACCTTACACAAATGTAGGTTTGTGTAAGCACACTCTATGATGTTCATACTACGACAAAATCGCCTGAGGATGCATTTCTCAGAATGCATTTTTGTCATTAAGTGACGCATGACTGTATATAGGTGTGGAGAAGAAAGGAGCATCATTTCACACTGCTTCATATTTTTTTCCTTTACACAGATGTTGACATACTGAAGAGAAGTGGGGTTTGCAGACCCCCAAGGCAGAATGTTTGAAACCTAGTAATTTGCCAAATATTGAGGGCCTAATGTTTAGCATTATGTTAAGAGGTGCAACAGAAATGAGTTTAATAAATCATCCCTGTCCATGATGAATTAACAATTTCACACCATCAGCCATCCATTCTATCAGGAGATATTGAGTATTTATCTTGTGTGAGGCACCATTCAAAGTATTAGGGATACACAAATGAGTAAGACCCAGTGTCTGTCCTCAAGGAGTGTTCATGGTAGAGGAGATGGACATGTAAATAAATAAATTGCAAGAAACATGTACAAGGTAGCCCATGAAGGCAATGAGTGAGTCAATAGAGAGAGAGAAGCTAAGGTTTTCTGGAAGAGGTGTCATTGATCTGAGTTTTGAAGGATGAAAAAGACAGATTACAAAATAGTGTAGGGTTTATGGAGGAGAAGAAATCCCATGTGCAAATGCCTGGGGACCTGAAGCAGTCTGAGTCGTAAGATCATAAAGTGGAATCAGATTACAAATTGTCCATGTGCATGAGTACCTCTATAGAAAATATGGGCCAGATTATAAAATATATTTATATACAAATATATATATATACGTGTTGATGGAATTAAACGTTCAATTGTACACTACAGAAAATTAGAGACTAGGCTATAACTAACGTAGTTTTACGTAAAATCAGGGAAAGCCTGTTAACCAGGAGGCCCGCTGCTGTCCCAGATGAGGTTTGTGCAGAATAGGGAGCCAGTGACTTCAGGCCCTAGGACCCCCCAATCTTCAGCCATTCTTGTTGTCTACAGATGTTCTGGGGACTGGCCCCAGCTTTAATTAACATCCACTTATTTATAATTCGGTTATTATTGGACGATGTGCCTGGCCTTGTGTCCAGTGCATTGAGCATGAGATCTGGAATTAGACTGCCTGAGTGTATGTCAGGATCCCAGCAGGAAATGGACGGCCCCCTCTAAAGGAGTAACCAAAAAGAGTTAAAGAAGGGATTATTTGTAAATGTTGAGGGCAGGGTTAAGGGAAACCAACAGGCGGTGTGAAGCACAGTGGGCAGCCTTTCCTACCCTAAGATGTGAAGGGGTGAGGGAAGGGAGCAGGACCTGTGCCTGTGGCTATTGAAGAGGCTGCTGGCAGTGGGGAACTACACCCCGACCTCTGTCCTCCTGCCTTTCTTCCAGTGTCCTACCAGTGCTCCCACTGGCAGAACCCAGCTGTTACCCAGAGGGCCAGGATGCCCACTGATACAGTTCATGAAGTCAGCCTCCCGAGGTACAGAGCAGGGTGAAGGGTGGAGACTGCATGGAGAGGGCAAAGGAGCACGTGGATTTGAATTCTGGCTCGACCATTAGTTGGTCGTGTGACTTTGGTTGGGTTATCTAACTTCTCTAGCCCTTGGCTTCTTCATTTGTGAACAAAATGAGAATGATAATAGTCTGTGCCTCAAGAAGTTAGAATGAAGATGAAATGAGTAATGCAGTTAAAGCACTTAATACGGTGCCTGGTACACAGAGAGCACTAACAACTTGTATCATAATGAGAATCTGCTTCTGTTGTTATCTACGTTTTATAGATAAACTGACTGAGGCACAGAGACCTTGAGTGGCACACCAAGCTCTCACACATCTGATAAGTGGCAGAGCCATAACTGGAACTGTGGGATGCCAGAACCCAGAATCTTAACCATTATACAGTACAGTATGTCATGGTTAGAACAAGGGCAACCCCAACAAAGAACCTGTCATTTTGTTTCTCCGTCAGGGTATCTCTCCAGACCCCCCATCCCCACCCGCACTGCATGGTCATCTTGGACCTGGGTTGAACCTGCTGCCTCTGACTAGGTCTCTGAACAGTCAAACCCACCCATCAAAGCCTTTGTCATTTTCCCAGGGTTCCACGAGCTACCTCTGCCCTTGTAGGTTGGGCAGCCAGGCCCTTTGAAGGAGGCTAATTGCACCACTTCCTCCCTCACTTGGAAGAGAAGGGGCTGGTGCTCCCGCACCTTCCCACTGCAGAGGGCAGAGGAGATGTAGGACGGTAAGTGCTGGAAGTGGTCAGAGAAGGAAAGACAGCTGGTTGGGATGCTCAAGGAAGGCTTTCTGGAAGGATAGTTTTGCCCTGGGCTTTGAAGACTCCATGACTTTCACTAGTCAGAAAAGAGAGGCTGCTTCACAGAAGAGGAACTGTCTTGCTCAAGAACAAGCCTTACCTTGGAAGGGGCAGGTGGAGGGCAGCGGGAAGCCCAGGGGAGCTTCTCTCAGGGCCTTCTTCAGCCTCCCCTTGGTGACCTGCTTGTGGGTGCAGGTGGGAGCAGAGAGTCCCCTCGCCACATAAATTGCGTGTCAATAGGGAAATTGCGGCTGTGGCTGTTACTTGTCAATTTTTTTCTTGCTGATTTCTGATTTTACTGCATAATTTTCAGTGAAAATTTTTGTGATATGACTTTGATTTTCAGATTTCAAGACCCTATGTCATGTGCAAATCCACGTTATTGATATCAATGACCAGATCCCCATCTTTGAAAAATCAGACGTGAGTGGTTGTCACTGTTTTTTCTTTACTTTGTTCATATTACTTGACTCTTACTTCTGGGATAAAGACACAAACAGAGTTAGGAAGAATGCCAGACTTAATACCTCAGTCAGTGCACTGATAACAAACACAGACAGCATCTTCAGTGGAAATCTTCAGGGAACAATAACATCCACTGTTATAGTATTTGGGAACATCTGTTTATAAACTTCTGCCAACGGCTCATTTATTCCCAGGGCTGCTTAAAAGCTACAACCACAATCTTTGTCAAATTGAAAGGAATTGAATGGTTACTTGCAATTTGTCATTATGTATTTTGTGTGTAGTAGGCCAATAAATAGATTACTGCTGTGTCTCAAACAAACATTTTTAGTCAAAATTTAATGTTTGGAACATTGGTAATTTAAACTCATTTTGCAATAATTGGGAAAGAGAAAAGGAGAAGAAAAAACTAATCTTTGGCTTACACCAAAGAAAAATGTGCTCAAGACATTTGCAAGAATTAGGAGAATCAGACAGAAAGATCAGGAGAAAAAAGATCAGTTGAGAATATCAAGAAAAATGTTTACTTATTGTTGATGTGGGGGCTTTAAACTTGGGGGTGTTTCACCACTGCTTCCCTTCAAGGATGTCTCTAGTTATTTATCTGGAGCAGAGAGAAGCCCATTTGACCAGAATGGTATGTCACGTTTGAAGTCAGTTATGAGGCAGCCCAGAGCCCTGTGATGATGTTAAATCAAAACAGGGACAAGGCTGTCACAAAGAAAGGGAATTGATTTATGAGGGTTTGGGGGCAGTAAGAGGTGTGACTAAATGTAACTTGTGTAACAGGCACTGAGGCTAAGCAGGTATGAAATAAAGAGCCCGTTTCTTCTCAGCCTCGCGATCCTTTCCTTGTGTAGTGATTTCCTTGCATTACATCTAGACAGTGGTTTTAGATTGAGGATGAGAATCCTGCTTTGGGAGTCTCAGACTTGGAACTGCAAATCTAGGCTCAAGAGAGAGTGAGTTTGCCTCTTTGTTTGGCGTGGTCCTCTTCTGGACCCTGTTTGTTGTCATCTTTAAGATCATGATGTCAAGAGACATGATCTGGGGGATTTTCAGTGGAAGAGTGGGATATGGTCTAGGCCAGTGATGAAGAGCACAGGCTTTGGAGTTGCACAAATGTGAGTTTGAATCCCAATTCTGTGACTCGCTAGCTGGGTGGTCTTGGGTGAGTTTTACCTCTCCAATCCTTTGTCCTCTGTCAAGTGGAGATGATAATATAGCTACTCAGTAGGGTGTCTTGTTGCTTATCTTGATTGAGCACTTAATATTTCCAGGTGTTCAGGGGCTTTATATACATTCTCTCTCTTAATTCCCACAGGAAACGTGAGGTAGGTTCTATTATTATTATCTCCACTAGACAGATGATGAAAAAGTGAGAGTTACAGAAGTCAGGTAATTAACTTGAAGTCGCACAGCCAATAAGTGGCAAGCCTAGGATTCATATGCACGCTGTTTGAATCCAAAGTTCAGACTCCTAACCACTATTCCTTGATTGATTTAAGAATTAATTAAAATAAGGTATATAAAGTAACTGCCACATTGTAGGTGCTCAATACATAGCAACTATTTATATCATTACTACTATAATAATAATTACAGTTATTAAACATATTCGATATGGGAGGGGGAATCTATTTTAGAATCCTACCAGTAGTTCTCTGAGAGGTTGTGTTTCTTGATACAATGAATATCAGCTTATGAGAATGACTGATGTCAGAATCAATTGCAGCATATTCATCAATAGGAAAAACATGCTTATTGAGTATTGATGCAAACTATGACTTGTGTCCGTTCTGAAACCAAAGAGACAAGTTTTCCCTTTGACAGCTATGCTTGATGACAATGGACATGCTTATCATTTCCTTCTTCTGTTTCCTTCTTAGTATGGAAACCTAACTCTTGCCGAAGACACAGCTGTTGGGTCCACCATCTTAACCATCCAGGCCACGGATGCTGATGAGCCATTTACTGGGAGTTCTAAAATCCTATATCGTATTACACAGGGAGACAGTGAGGGACGACTGGGGATTGACACAGATCCCCAAACTAACGCTGGATATGTCAAGGTTAAAAAGGTAAATAGTCCCTTTACGGAATTTGTCTTTTTCATAGATTGATTTACTTATGACCATGCAAGGACCTATGAGCAGAGGTGATGTATCTGTGGTGACCTCTCAGGCGTGCTGATGGACTCCTGGGCACTTTCAGTCATTCCTGTCCTTCTGAAAGATGAAGGGCCAGGATTCTAGTTCTGGGTCTGTAACTAACTGACCAAGAAACCTTTGAGGAGGGAGGGAGTGTTGCCATATAAAATATATAAAATACAGGATAAACAATGTTTTAGTGTAAGTATGTTCCATGCTTAAACTAAAAAATTGTTTGTTGTTTATCCAAAATTCAAATTTAACTAGGTGTTCGATATTTTTATTTGATAAATATGGGGTGGTAGTGCTCAGGGCTTACTTCTCCCTCTGCAAATGTGGAGTGTTAGACCAGACGAGTCATGTGAGCCCTTTAGGCTGTAGACTCTTTATTCTAATGTGCCAGCCATAGTCTTCTCTTTAAAAATGACTGGAAATTAGATCTCCTTTCAAGGTTTAATAGACAAGTTTATCCTTTCATCCTCCCTGCCCACTTCTTACTTTCGTCTTTTACGTTATTGCTAAGCCCACTGGCTCTTGCTTTGTCTCTCCCTCCATAAGGACTGGGTAATCTGGAGCCAAAGTCTTGATTACCATAGTACCTGTTACTTTGTGCAGGATCTTCCTATCCTCCATAAATCTACTCTCATCCCCCACTGTGTCCACCTAAATCTTGACCCTTTTCTCCATGGCTGTCTCAGCTATGCTTTAGAGCATGTAAATGGTTTACCAGATGACTTAATAGGAAGCAGCACTCAATGTCATCAACATATTTAGAATTAAAAGAGGTCAGAGTTACAGCAATAGAGACTCTGCAAGCATGGCTGAATGCTGAAGGTTTGCAGTGCAGTGTGCTAGAGGCTGCAAAAGAAGGCTCTGGAGGAAAGTTTTGAACCTGAATAAGGGAAAGCTGAAGTAGAGGCTAAAAATGAAGACAAAATAGAGTAATTTCACAGAAAATGGATGGAAGGACAGGAAGAAAAGTGCTAGTGCTGAAGCAAGCCCTGGGGCAGAGTGTTGGAATTCTAATCCCATTATTGCCATATATTCTACCTCTGACAAAGGGCCTTGCTGGGTTTTAGCAGCAAGGTTTGTGTGTGGGCCAACTCAAACCATTAGCATCCTTTGTGAATCTGACATTTGGAAAAAGTGCCATTACAACTCCCCTGTTCATGACCATCTGCACGAAGAGAAAGAACGCCGGAAGGAAAGGACAAAGGAAAGGGCAGTTTTCAGAGTTCCCATTGGGTGGTCCAGGCAGTATCTTTGATTCTTTTGCAGGAGGTGGGGGCCGATATCTCCCATCCTCCCCCAGGACCAGAGCTCTCTAGGGTTCTAAGGGAAGACAGAGGCCTGTCCATCTCAGTACAAATGATTCCCACATGTCAACATTTTTTGTGGTGGCTTATTGTGAACCAACTTAAGTTAATTTGATGGTTTGTGGCTAAGGGGCATCTTTAGGGAGATGTTGGTAACCCTGATGACAGAGGTAGGTGAGAGCTGTAAGGATCCTCCGCACAACCTTGACATAAGGAGGTAGGTTACAGCAGAGCAGGCCTCTGACCAAAAGCTTTGTCACATCCTTATTTCGTTTGTGGTTGCATTCCAAGTGTCTAAAATATTGCCTGGCACATAGCAGAGGGTCAATAAATGTTAGTTCACTGAATAAATAATTGAATTCTGTCCCATATACAATTATTAAGGAGCAGGCACAAAACTTGATCATCTAACTTGTGCTTTAGGCCTATGAAGTCCCAGCTCTCTGTCCCTCAGGCACTGTGATAAGAGTGCTCCAGTGACAGGATTCGCCTGACGGTCCACAGGAAGGCGATCCCACACAGAGCAGACCTGCAGGTCTGGAACTCGGAAGCACATGAGCTGCTGGACTAGCCAGGTGTGCACATGCTTGTTCACGTGACGACCGAGAGATCGATTTTTAACCAAACTACGTCTTGAACACCGCTAATATCACAAACTCTCTTTGTAAGATCACTTGCTAATTAACAAACCTTCTGGTGCCGCTTGACGGACGTAGTGCCAGCTCACGGGCTGTAGCAGCTGCCACAGGAGTGTGGATCTCTGACTAGGATCTTTCAAATGCTAAGCAACAACCAACCCTGAGGTGTGGATTCTTGGTTAGGATACACCAAATGTTAGCCAACTACCCCTAGAATGTATTTATTTGCTATGACAGATGTATGTGTTTATACTGTTATTAGTATTTTAAATAAATTAGACTCGATAATGTGGGTTCTTGTGTATGGCTTAGTCTTATTCTAATTCCCTACTCATTAAGCCATCAGGGGACTATCATTGCTTCAGAACTATCGCGTTAATCATTTTAAGTCTTTGAGCTAAATTTTTTAAAAAGTTGTGGTAAAAAACACATAACGTGAAATTTAAGAGGGTAGTTAAATTTTGTAGCGTACAGTGCAGTGTTGTTAACTATATGCACATTGTTGTACAGCAGATCTCTAGAATGTTGCATGAGTGAAACTCTATACCCTTTGAACAACAGCTCCCCATTTCCCCCTCCCTCCAGATCTTGGCAACCACCATTCTTCTTTCTGTTTCTATATGTTTTACTACGCTAGGTACCTCATATAAGTGGAATCATACAATATTTGTCCTTCAGTGACTGGCATATTTCACTTAGCATAATATCCTCGAGGTTCTTCCACATTGTAGCATATGACAGGATTTCCTTCCTTTTTTTAAAGGCTGCTTAATTTTCCATTGTATGCATATACCACATTTTCTTTATCCATTTGTCTCTCAATGGACATTTTGGTTGTGTCCACCTCTTGGCTATTGTGAATAATGCTGCAATGAACATGGGAATGCAATATTCTGTTTTCAGTTCTTTTGGATTCATGCCCAGAAGGGAGATTGCTGGATCATATGGTAGTTCTAGTTTTAATTTTTTGAAGAACCTCTATGCTGTTTTCCACAGCAGTTGCACAATTTTACACTCCCACCAACAGTGCACAAGGGTTCCAATTTCTCCACATCTCACCAACACTTGTTCTTTTTTTTTTTTAATTTTATAATGGCCATCCTAACAAGTGTGGTTTTGATTTGCATTTCCTTGGTGATAAGTGATGTTGAGCATCTTTTAATGTACCTGTTGGCTAGTTGTATGTCTTCTTCGGAGAAATGTCTATTCAAGTCCTTGGCCCATTTTAAAATCAGATTATTTGGTTTTTTTTTTTTTTTTCTATTGAATTGTAGGAATTTTTTAATATATTTAACCCTTATTAGATGTATGGTTTGCAAATATTTTCTCCCATTCTGTAGGTTACCTATTCACACTGCTGATTATTTCCTTTGCTGTGCAGAAGCTTTTTAGTTTGATGTAGTCTCACTGGTGTATTTTTGCTTTTGTTGCCTGTGCTTTTGGTATCACATCCAGAAACTAAGTTTCTTAATCACAGTTCTATCAGCAACTGTTTATCTGAATCACAAATGTGCTAATCACAGGTAAAATTCACCGAGGAACACATCTTCCACAACTAACTGTAGCCCGTTTCACTTTCTGAAGCATTTCTGCACACACTCTCCTTTGCTTCTCACCCTGACTCTGAGGGAGGCAGAGATCAGCCCCACCGTACAGATGAGATTCAGGCCCACAGCAAGATATACTGAGGTCCCCCAGTGATGGCAGAGCTGGGAACTTGACCCTAGGCCTCTGGCTACTCTCAGGAAATGATTTCTGTGGTTGTGACTTACTAGGTCTGTGACCTTGACCAAATGATATAACCTCTCAGGACTCAGTTTCCTGATCTGTAAAAATGGGTAAAATGGTAGCACATTCTTTATAACGATGTTGGAGGATTAAATGTGGAATATATATATAGCTCTTAACATTTCACCCAGCAGATAGTAAACTTAATAAATGTGGAATTCTCTTAATTCTGATTAATTAGAGCTAGGGCAGAAGCCAGGATTCTGCCTGTGGGCAGATGTGCTTTCTCCTCTTGCCAAGACGGTCGCACTTGCCTAATCCAGGAGTCAAATGGTGCACACGGGGGACTGCTGACTCAGTCTCTGCAGAGAAATCAGTCATTTTAACAACTGCCCTGCAAGGGGGAAAAAACACTGCTGTTTTTCTCCTTCACTCTCACACTACTACCACACTTGACTTCTGACACCAGACGTGCGGGTTGTCCACACATCAAGCAACGCTCCAACAACAGCCTGATGTCCTACAAGTTAACTCAGTTCTGACACTATCTGCCTGGAGACAGTGCAGACCTCACAGGTCAAAGGCTCAGTGCCACAAGACTGCCCCTACTTCAGAAGCCAGTTGCAAGCCCCAGGTTGTCACCTGTACTTCTGACCGACTGGCTATAAATTGGAGGTTCCCATGACTCTTTCCTCAGATCATTTGCTAGAAGAGCTCACAGAACTCAGAGAAGCCCTTACATTTGCTAGTTTATTATAATAAGGATATGATAAAGGATACAGGTGAACAGCCAGATGAAGAGATACACAGGGCGAGGTCTGGAAGAGTCCTGAGTGCAGGAGCTTTTGTCCCCATGGAGTTGGGGTGCCCTACTCTCCTAGCACATGGATATGTTCACCAACCCGGAAACTCTCCCAACTCCATCCTCGTGGGATTTTTATGGAGGCTTCATCACATAGACAGGATTGATCATTAACTCAATCTCCAGCTTTTCTCCCCTTCCCAGGGCGGGGTGTGGGCAGGGACCTGAAAGTTCCAAGCTTCTCATCATGCCTTGGGCTTTCTGGTGACCAGCCCCCATCCTGAAGCAATCCAGTAGCCCACCTACAGTTCCCTCATTAGAACAAAAGGCACTCCATACCAATAATAGAATAGAACAACTGTAAGAATGTACTACAATAAAAGTCACTGTAGTGCTTGAAAAAAAAAAACAAAAAACCAAAAGACATTCCTATCACCCAGGAAATTACAAGGGTTTCAGGAGCGCTGTGTCAGGAACCAGGGGCAGAGACCAATATATATATTTTCTATTATTTCACATGCCCCAAGTGATGCTTCAGATTAAACAAGTTTTAGGATTAAACGGTACAAATACTGACCTACTCAATATTTACTGCCACCCAAAGCTCAGGCCTGTTGTGTTGTAGATCATGATACTCTTGGGGCTAAGCAGGTGTCAGGAGCAGGAAGTTTATTTCTTTGAGTCCTGCCTGGCTCATCCCCTCTCCTGGGATCCCCTTTCTTGAAATTCAGAGTTTTGTTTTAGCTTTAGTTTTCTGAAAATGCAAATTTTGTCACTTCTCCATCATGGCTGGTCCTTTCCAGTCCTCGGTACATGACCTATTTTTTATTTTTTTTATTTCTTATTGATGTCATCATAGTTGATAACATTGTGAGATTCCAGTTGTACATTGTTATTTGTCAGTCACTGTATAAATGCGCCCCTTCACCCCTTGTGCCCACCCCTGAACCCCCTTCCCCTGGTAACCACCAAACTGTTCTCTCTGTCCGTGTGTTAGTTTATGTTCCGCATATGAGTGAAGTCATACAGTGTTTGTCTGGCTATTTCATTTAACATAATACCCTCCAGGTCCATCCATGTTGTTGCAAATGGGATGATTTTCTCTTTTTTTATGGCTGAGTAGTATTCCATTGTGTGTGTGTGTGTATACATATATATATGTATATGTATACCACATCTTTATCCAGTCATCTGTTGATGGACACTTGGGTTGCTTCCATTTCTTGGCTATAGTGAATAATGCTGCAGTGAACATAGGCATGCATTTGCCTCTTTGGATTGTTGATTTCAAGTTCCTTGGATAAATACCGAGAAGTGGGATAGCTGGATCATAAGGTATTTCTATTTTTAATTTTTTGAGGACTCTCCATAGTGTTTTCCATAAAGGCGGCACCAGTTTACATTCCCACCAGCAGCGAATAAGGGTTCCCTTTTCTCCACATCCTCTCCAACATTTGTTATTTTCTGTCTTGGTGATTATAGCCATTCTCACGGGTGTAAAGTGATATCAGTACATGACCTATTTTTTTTTTTTTTGCGAGGAAGATCAACCCTGAGCTAACTTCCCTGCCAATCCTCCTCTTTTTTTGCTGAGGAAGAATGGCCCTGGGCTAACATCCGTGCCCATCTTCCTCCACTTTATATGGGACCCCGCCACAGCCTGACCTGACAAGCTGTGCATCGTGCGCGCCAGGGATCCGAACCCGGGCCACCAGCAGCGGAGCGCGCATTTAACCGCTATGTGACTGGCTGGCCCTACATGACCTATTTTTAACCAGCCCAACTGTCATCTGGAAAACTAATGTGCGTGCTTTTTTCTCATCACCGATCATTAGTGAAAATGTTAAATATCAACTCCTCTCTCTCAGCACTTGTATCTCTGCCTCTTGGTTGAATCTAAATCGCTGGGTTTGACCTGTTAGGCAGTTACGTGCAGAAGGGGAACTGTGGCATGAGCATATTTTCTCGGCTCACTTGATGAATGAGTCTCCCCAGCCCGCACCTGAGGCCATCCCAAGAGGCCGAGAGGGGTCTCCTGACTTGGCTTTGCAGGCACATCTCCGTGTTATGAGAGGCGATACATGTGGTTTGACAAGGCTTGTCCTTGATTAAGTTCTGCTGGTTATCATTTGCTAATTTAGTGTCTTTTATTTCTAATTTTTTCCCTAGAAGATTTGGTTCAGTGTTTTTCCTGATGTGAAAGTTAGGTGGACTGGTCAATAGCAGCCTGCTCCTTTTCTCGTTTGTTCTTCCATTCAATAAGTGTTTAAGGAGCCCTGACATCCTCTCCTAACTGGTCTCCCTGCCTGGATCTGGATCACCTCAAATCCATCCCTCACACGGCTGCTCCCAGAGTTATCTTTCTAAAACACAAATCCAACCTTGTCAGTCTTGGGCTTAACACCTCTCTCTGCTCCTCAAGGATCAAGTTCCAACTCCTTAGCTTGACGTATGCCATCTTCTCTGCCATCTCTACCCTCAGCTTCATGGGTTCTGTTCTGATAACACAGGCTGCTTCTCATTTGCAGAAATACCATCTCGTTTCTTTACCCATCACCTCTGGGGGCCACATGAAGAGATGGGAAAGCCAGGGAGGGGACTTAGGACCTGTTTGGTGGCAAGGATGGGATGTGCCTCCTCTTCCTGAGCACACAGACAGCTCTGCTACGTGCCTGAGCCTGGGCTTGGCTGAACCAGCAAGGAACAGAGAGTCCATCCTTTGTCCACCTCACCAGCTTGCTCTGGGGGCTGCTGCCTTTCTGCCCCATCTACCAGCCTCTCTCAATTGACGCCCCTGCCTTCATCTCCTGAGATAGGGAGTGGGTCCCTGGGAGTCAGGAACTCCAGTTTGCACCTCCCCCCCTCAGGTGAGGAGCCCTATCAGACCACGTGATAGTGATCAAGAGGTCATCGTGGGGTCATGTCTTGCTGACAGTGGGTGCTTATCTCTGTGGACAACCTCTCTTTTTACCTCTTAGCTGGCTTATAAAATTTTATATCCTGTATATTATATCCTGTCAGTTGCTTCTTATTTTCTATCTCAAATGGTCTTGAGTCTTCATATATAATTCCTTCTCTTCCATATAAACAATCTATCTAGTGTACTTTCTATAGAACTAAAAATCGGGTTGTGATGTTGTGTGTGTTTGTCTGTGCATGGAGGAGAGGGGTTTCTGGAGAAGGGGGATTTTCTCTGGAGTCTCTTTTCCACTGGAGCCCTCAAGGGCTCAAGAAGGACCATCTTTATATTTCTTATCTTTCTCATCTTTATATTTCCACACTGATACACTATGAGTACTGCATGTCAAGGCAGAGATAAGAAGCAAAGATGAATGTAACACAGTTTTTCCTCTCAGAGACGTTATGGTCAGTAATGATCTAAAGTAGATAACCAAATAATTAGCATTGTGGGGCAGGTACGGTGAGGTTACAGAGGACATGCAGCTCATCCATTTGTGGATGGAGGGTGGTGATCAGGGAAGCCAGTATGGAGAGGACAGCACTGAGCCAACGCCTGACAAAGGGGAGAGTTTTCCGTTGTTAGAGAAGGGCAGGTTGAGCTAATGCATCCGTGTGTCAGACGCTCCAGGAGTTTTTCTCCTCACAAGCAGATCTTAGCTTTTCTGTTTAACCAATGAGAAACTGATATAAACTAAAGTGAAAGGACAGACAGCTCACCAAGAGGTCCTGTGTCCTCCAGGCCTGGAAAAGTGAACAAAATAGTGCAGTTTCCATAATCCATAAGGTACCTTTTGGACTTTGCTTTGGTTCCTTCATCTTTTTGAGGTCCTGGTACCATTGAGACTCTGACAAAAGCTACATAGCCTCTTCCTAGAAAAAAATTCACATGTGTGCATATATATATATGATATTTAGATTTTGGTTTCTAGGCGTTCACAGATCCCTGGAACTGTGAAGCCCTGGAAGCCCTTTAATTCCAGTTAAGACGCCCAACTTTAGGGCTGTTCCACTCTGCAGCAGGTCTCTAGGATTTCAATTTTTTTCCATGTAGAATCATGGACTCTATGGCTTGAGAGAGAACTTAAAAGTCACATAGGACCAATTGCTGAAATGACATTTAAGTCCCTTCTATGCTAACTTGTCACATGTTGTTAAAGCCTATACTTGAAAGCTTCCAGAGTTGGGAACTTGCTATATTTTGAAGCAACTCTTTCTGTCTTGGGTAGGCCTAACTGTTAAATTCTTCCTCATACTAAACCAGAATTGGCTTCCTTATTCTCCGTTCCTGGTCCCATCCGGCCTGGCCTGGAACAAGAGGAGACCGTCTGTCTTTCAGTTGCCTCTGCTAACCTCTCCGTGGGTTTACAGTCCTTGGTTTTGAGGTTTGGATCCTGAGGTCCCTAGGAAGTCATTCTTCATACAATGCAGAAATCTCTATATAACATTTTCCAAGATGTCTTCTGAGAACTCTCTTGAGAATCAGTAAGTTTCTGCTAAACGAATGAAGTATCCCAGGGTTAAATAAATTTGAGGAGTGCTGCACTGATTTCCTCTTCTAGGAGAGTTAGAAGCTCTGATAAGTCCTGCAGGAAAGACTTTTTCATGGCTCTATTATCATTCTGAGAAGAGATTTTTGCTGACAATGAATTGAAAACTGTGTTCTATAAGAGAGTTTTTAAAGGAGTATAGAGAATGAACCTTTTAAGAGATCTCATGATCCCAAAATTAATTTTCCTTCTTTTTTTCCCTACACAGCCTCTTGATTTTGAAACAGCAGCTGTTCACAACATTGTGTTCCACGCGGAAAATCTTGAGCCTCTGGTGTCTGGTGTAGAGTACAATGCCAGCTCTTTTGCTGCATTCAAGCTTATTGTGACAGACGTAAATGAAGTACCCCAGTTTTCCCAACAAGTTTTCCAAGCAAAAGTCAGTGAAGATGTGGCTATAGGCACTAAAGTGGGCAACGTGACTGCCAAGGATCCGGAAGGTCTGGGCGTAAGGTAGAGGCAAGCCGACCTGTGCTGAGACCAAGGCCAGGGGGAGGAGGAAAGGCTGGGAGGGGCAGAGAAGCTTGCCTGACTCCAGCTGCTCCTCTAAGGGAGTAGCCAGTGATCTGAAGCCATACCCTAGTGCCTTTGGTCAACTTGACCTCGGTTCCAGCAGGCGTAAGTTCGCTGGGGGACATCAATGAGAATCTAGGCTCAGGCAAGTGGGAAGCACGTCAGATTCCTTCCCAGCCCACTTGCCACAGGTCCCAGCTGACAGCCGGTGAGTTCAGGAGATGGGATCCGGAGACTGGGCTGCCCAAAGCCAGGCCCTGTGTCTGAATCAGTCACGGGGGCCGGGATTTGGGGAAGTGTTCCAGCCCAGCCCAGCCCAGCCCCTAAGGTGTACTGGGTTCTAGACAGAGAGAATGAAGCAAAAGCCCAACTGGACAGACTCAGCCACCTGACAGGGTTAAGGGAATCTTCTGGGTGGAGAGCGCATAGGTTCCCCGGCTCTGCAGAGAAGAGGCCCTGGGCAACAAGACTCATTCCACGGTTCACCCCCGAGAGGCTAGTGCTCAGGGTGAAGTGGTTAAACAAAAGGCGTAAATCTTTCCATCTTAGCAATTCTCAATTATTATTATTATTATTTTTTTGTGTGAGGAAGATCGGCCCTGAGCTAACATCCGTTGCCAATTCTCCTCTTTTTGCTGAGGAAGACTGGCCCTGGGCTAACATCCACGCCCATCTTCCTCTACTTTATATGGGACGCCGCCAGAGCATAGCTTGACAAGCGGTGCGTTGGTGCGTGACCGGATCCGAACCGGTGAACCCCGGGCCGCCAAAGCGGAGGGCACGCACTTAACTGCTTGCACCACCAGGCCAGCCCCCTCAATTAATTTTTTTCAGTGTGCATTTTTAAGGCACACAGATTTGCCTTGAAAATGTGCATTGACAATTAATTTGCCCAAGATATAGATGTATGTGTATATATCCATATCTGTATCAATATCTATAAGCTCTTTAAGATTATATAGTTAATAAGCACATAGATAGGATTTGAACCCAGATCTTTTGCTTCTATTGTATAACATTACTCCTGCTGTCTATGGCATGATAGATATTTCAGCATGACTTAAATCAATGCATGTGGTTATGAATGACAATTCCTTAAGTTTCTCTAAACATTTGAGGGGAGTCTCCTCTCATTTAGCTGTCATTTAGGCACTTGGAATCACTTCTAAGACCTTTTCCCGATTGTCTGTCAAGGAGTAAAGTTCCATCCACTGTTTTACTCTCTACCCCCTCCTCTAGTTTCATAAAGACAAACATGAGAGGAGAGAACAGTGCGGGTCATACTGTATGGCTTAGTGTAGATACTACTCTATACTTCAGAGCCACAAATGATGATGGGGCACAAAAGGTTTATCTTTTTACAACCATTTATTGTTTAACAAATGCATCTGCCTCCTTCATGAGAATCCTTTAAGAATCATTAAAGACAAGTGAATAAAAATTTGAGTTTATGAGTGGAGATCACAAAGGCATTTAAGAAAATGTCTCAATGGATCAAGGAAAAGATATAGCATATATACTGTTAAGTTGAGATCAGGAAGATGAGGAAGAAGACTGAGAAGGGGAGTGTCCTGTAAGAGACAGTGCTGGAAGACAAAGGAAAAAGAGCTTTCAAGAATGAGGAATAATCACTAGTTCAGATCCTAGTAATAAGTCAGGTAAGAATTAAGGTGGACTCCAAAGTCTTTGGCCTGAGCAAGTTAATTCTTCTCTTTCTCTCAGCTCCACAAACTTAGAATCCATCAGCACCCAATGAATCCTAATCCAATCCACCCACAAATATTAGAGATTCTTTTCAATGAAGCACATCCAGAATCCAGTTGCTTCCCACCACTTCCGCCACGGTCCAGGCCACCGTCTTCTCTTTTCTGGTTCTGTCCTTGCCCCTGCCACTCCTCCATCCCACCCTGACTCTATTCACTACAACCAGAGTGGGTCTTTAAAAAAGTAAATCAGATCATGTGACTCTTCTTAAAATCCTCCAACGGGTTCCTATCTCACTCAGGATGAAATCCCAAGGACATAGGATTTCTTGTTTATCACCTTTACGCACAGCCTAGCACAGTGCTTGGATATAGAATATACTAACATTGGGAAAAAAATTAATTTGATGAACACATAACTTTTTAATCATTCTCTTATTCCTGGACATGTAGGTTGTTTCCAGTATTTTTTGTATTATAGAAAATTTTTTGAATATATATATATATGTATATAATTCTTTTTTAACTTCTATTACATTGTTTTTTATTTAGGGAAAATTTCCAGAGGTGAGATTCTTTGGTCTAAAGATTTGGACAACCTTGTGGCTGTGATGTGTTGCTTCCCAAAGGGCTGTACCAGTTGGTTTTCCTGTGGTTCTAGTCTTTTCTCTCTCAAATTTGTCTTTCACACACCTACCAATGAGTTCCATTGAAAACGTAAATATGACTAGGTCACCTTCCTGCTTAACACCATTCCATGGCAGCCCATTGCTTCCCATGATCTGGCCCTTTCCAGTCTCCCTGGCTTCATCTTCTGCCATCCACTGCTTCCCATGTTTATCCCAACACTGGTGGAATGTCTCATTCCCACACCTACCAAGCTATTCCTTGGCTTCTCCGTGGTAGCTCATGCAATCCCTTCTGCTTGAAGCATCCTCCTTTTTCTTGCCTTAGTTAACATCTCCTCCTTCAGAAAGACTTCTCTGATTCCCATGAACTCCTCTGGGTTTCCATAGGACCGCTTCCATTGTATTTACCACATTTTATTAGAATTATTTACTTCTGTGTCTGTCTCCTCCACTGGCCTAAAAGCCCCTTTTTGTAATTTCCTCTCTTGGTCCGCTGCCTGGTATTTGCTAAGCACTCAATGGATGTTTGTTGACTGAGGGAGTTCACTGTGCCACCAGCAGCTGAGTATCCACCCATTTCGTTGGAATTCTTTGAATGCCAGAAAAGTTTCACTTTTTCCCCCCAGAGTTTGTGACTATATCTTTTCTAATAAAACAAGTACAACTACCACTTTGTAAGGACGAATAAATCCTCCTTTTGAAGATAGATGGTATAAAAATAAAGCAATAATAATATTACATAATGATTCTTTAAATATATCGTAAATAATATGCAAGGGATAGTGCTGTTATAGTAGCATTGTGATGCATAAAGTATCTTCACAGTTTCACACATGGTGATGTGGGCTTTCTTCTGCTCTTTTCACTTTATGAAGGTATTCACTGAGAGGTGACACGAGAGGTTGGCTGAAAATTAACCCCGCCACTGGTGAGATCTTTAGTGCGGCTCCGCTGGACAGGGAAACTGAAAGTCTGTATCGGGTACAAGTATTGGCAACTGAAGTAGGTGAGCAAAAAAAAAAAAAAAGGTAACAAATTATTAGGGGATATATCAATGGAAATTGGAGGGGAGGTGAGGTGAGTGGGAAACTACATTGAGTCAAATTGTCATAATTTCTTATAGCGGAAGGAAGAGAGGGGTACAAAAGTGCATGAAAATGCTCATGCCTTCCTGGTTTTGTTCAAGATGAGAACCACCTGTGCCCCTGAGCAGGGCTTTTTCAGGCAGGGTTGTACCTGGAGGCTGGCTCCACTTCAGGGATGCTACTCACTCTGTGGTTTGCTGTAGGGGCTGCAGCTTCTAGGAAGGTTCCTGTACCCCCGCTGAAGCACCCCCCTTCATCTAAAGTGGTTGTGGTGTTCTCCTGGGAGTGAGGTCAAACCGCTGCCCTGTTGACCCAGACCATTATGTGCTCCTTCAGCCTTAAACTGCAGTCACTCAGGTCTCATCCTTTTTGAGACAGAAAATGTTTTATGCAGTGCTCTCAACTTCGGTACGTGCCAGAATCACGTGGGAGCTTGTTCAGTACAGATACTAAGAGTTCACTCCTGGAGATTCTGAATCAGCAGGTTTGGGTGGCCCTGGGTGTCTGTGAAATAGGGTGAACTTTTGAGAGGAAAGACTTTTACATAGATAATCCAAGGATGTTTGAATCATCCTTGTATAATCTTTGCATGCCATTTAATTCAGTTGTGGTGATATATATCACCCACTGGTTCTGAATGTACGGCTCCAGGGAATTTAAAAAATAAAATAAAAATTAACTCACAGGAATAGTGTGCTTACCAGTGATAAGGCTGGTGATTAAAACATTGTTTCTCTGCATAAATGGAATTTTCCAATTTAGAGTAGAAATTCTGAAGGTCTTATGCTGATCAGAGCCTCTAATTAGATAGTAAGTATATCTGCCTGGTTTACCAAAAAAGAGAATTGAACAAATTACAGCTAAATAACTCTCATTTTAGACAAAAAAATAAACTTTCAAAATGTGAGGCCCAGGGTTGGGAGCTCTAATGGGGAACATTCCAGTAGATAGGAATCATAAAAATGGTCCCTGCATGTGAAAAGATGAAGAAAACAAAAGTAGGGCAGTCAAGTTAAACCAGTGGGGTTAGAAATGCAGCAGTGTGTGCCGCGTGTGGGATGGCTGCCTGGCAGTGGACGGGCCTTGCTGACGCGGTCGGGTCAGCTCTGTCTCCCTTGCTGGCTTCTAGTTAGGCGCATTCCACTCCCACATTGTATACATTTAACTCTTAATTTAAAAGCTCCTATTAACCATCAGGAAGTTTCTGGCGGAGCCTTGAGCTGTGCACTCTCCTACGACATACTGTGGGGATCAACACTTCACTTCGGAGGTGTCCTCAAGGGCTCTCACATTTCAGAAACGTCATGAATCAAAACCAGCGTCCAAAACCCGGCTCCATTGGCAGTGGTTGGCGCTGAAATGATGTAGACAGAGGAAATGACTGCAAGAGCACGGTGGCTTTTCCTTCTTGGGTTAAGTGTAGTCAGGGGCATGGAAGAAAGTGAGAAGAAAAGCAAGAAAATGGGTTTACTGGCGTCCAAGCAGGTCAGAGCGAGAAACTGTAGCAACAGCGGCTGTGGCTGACGCCAGGGAGAACGAGAGCAGTCAGCGTGGACATGCGCTGACAGCCCTGTTTTAAGCACTCAGTGTAACAACTTACTCCTCATACAACACTATGGGCAGGTACTATTAGTGACCATATTTTATGGATGAGGAAACCAAGGCACTGAGAAATTAGGTATCTCGCGTGTGATCACACAGCTACCAACTGGTCAGGCTGCGGAGTCCAAATTTTTCACCCCTGCACTACAGTAAATAATGTTTGTGCGTCTCTGTACTATTTTCTAAGAACACTACTGTGGGATCCTCACAAAGCCACATGTTTTACAGCTCAAGAAATGAGGCTTAGAAAACTTAACGAACATGCCCAAGTCAGTGTTGATGAGCAGTTGAGGGTGTGAGCTCTAGAGTCAGACCTCCTGGGTTGGAAGCCTCTCTCCTGCTGTGTGACCTTGGGCAAGTCACACAACTTCTCTGAGCTTCAGTCTTCTCATCTGTAAATGCACCTCAGAGTTGTTTTGAAGTAATGGGTATAAAATATTAGTACATAAATATTAGTTATTATTATTATCATTAAAACTATTTAATTAGTAATGAAATCAGGTCTGATTCTAAAAGCTTGTTTTCTTTCCGCCACCTCTACTACCTTTCTACTACCTTCCTTTCTACTACCAACTGCTTAAATTGTAGTTGTTTTTTTTTTAAAGAAAAGGAAATATCCTTCCTTGTTAAGAGGAAAATGAGAAAGCTGATTCCATGTTTCCATCACTCATTCTGTAGGTGGATCCTCCTTGAGCTCCACGGCGAATTTCCACCTGACCCTTACGGATGTGAACGACAACCCCCCACGGCTAGTCAAGGAGTACACAGGCTTGTTCTTCTGCTATCCCCTCAAAGCACCCGGCAGTCTCATTTTTGAGGCTACTGATGATGATCAGAAGTCATTTCGTGGTCCACAGTTTACATTTTCCCTTGGCAGTAAAAGCTTACAAAGTGACTGGGAAGTTTCCAAAGTCAATGGTGAGTTGTCAAAAGTACATCGAGAAAAACACTGATGGATGATGAAATTAGTTTTTATTTGCCTTGGTGTGCTTGCAGCACTCAACACAGAGCTTTCTTCCAGGCTTCAGGAAGGAGGTTCACGCTTTGGAAACTTGCACGGAGAAGCTCTCCAGAGGGGAGACAGCCCTGGGCTTTGGAGGAAGGAAAGGTTGTAAACACACAGCAGCCCCCTTAGTGCAGATGGATAGTTGAACAACCTGAGCAGCATTTGCAACATTTCCAATGGCAGCTGAGAAACAGATTTCACAATGATTTTTTTGTGTGTGTGAGGAAGATCAGCCCTGAGCTAACATCCATGCCAATCCTCCTCTTTTTTGCTGAGGAAGACCGGCCCCGGGCTAACATCCGTGCCCATCTTCCTCCACTTTATGTGGGACGCTGCCACAGCATGGCCTGACAAGTGGTGCGTTGGTGCGCGCCCGGGATCCGAATCTGGGCCACCAGCAGCGGAGCACGCGCAGTTAACCGCTATACCACAGGGCCAGCCCCTCACAATAATTGTTGAAAACAGTTTTATTGAAATATAATTGACATACAATAAACAGCACATATTTAAAGTGTACAATTTTATAAAAACTGATATGTGTATACACCATTGAAGCCACCTGCACAATCAAGATAAGAGCATTTCCACGTCTCCCCGCCAGAGATTTTCATGCTCTGTTGCATTCCCTATCTTCCATCCCGCCCTCTCCAACCCCTTCCGCAAGTGACCACTGATCTACTTTCTGTCACTATGGATTAGTTTACACTTTCACGAATTTTATCTAAATAAAATAATACAGTATGTAGTCTAAGTGAAATTAGCCAGACAATTTCGGGAATTATCCATGTTGTTGTGTGTATCAATACTTGGCTTCCATATCCACAGGTTTCTCATCCAGGGGATTCAACCAACTACAGATGGAAATGTACTAAACATGTACAGACTTTTTTTATGTCATTATTCCCTAAACAGTACAGTATGACACTATTTACATAGCATTTACATTGAATTAGGTAATATAAGTAATCCAGATGATTTAAAGTATATGGGAACCAATTTATATAAGAGACTTGAGCATTTGCAGATTTTGGTATCCACAGGGGTTCTGGAACCAACTCCCTGGGGATACTGAGGGGTGACTGTACTTCATTCCTTTTTATTGTTGAGTGGTAGTCACAATTTGTCATCCATTCACTTATTGATTGTCATTTAGGTTGCTTCCAAGTTTCAGTATTACAAATAAAGCTGCTATGAACATTGTGAACAAGTATTTTGTAGGAGCACATGCTTTCATTTTTCTTGGTTAAATACCTAGAAGTGGAATGGCTAAGTCATATGGTAGGTGTATGGTTAAATTTTTAAGAAAATGTCAAATTGCTTTCCCGATAGTTTGTAACATTTTACATTCCCACCAGTGTGTGAGAATTCTAGACACTCAGCATTCTCGCCGATACCCGCTATGCTCAGTCTTTTTAACTTTAGCTCTTCTAGTGGGAGTGTGGTAGTATTTCCTTACGGTTTTAATTTATATATTTCCCTCATGACTAATGGTGTTTGGCATCTTTTCATGTGCTTCTTTGCCATCCATATATCTTCACAGGTGAAGTGTCCGGTCAAATATTGTGCCCATTTAAAAAATTTGGCTGTTTGGCTTTTATTGTTGAGTCATGGGCATTCTTTATATAGTCTAGAAACAAGTTTTTTGTCAGATATTTTCTCCCAGGCTGTGGCTTCCATTTTCATTTTGTAACAGTGTCTTTTGAAGAGCAAATTTAAAATTTTTGATGATGTCTGATTTATTGATTTTTTTTCTTATATAATTTGTATGATATTTTTTTGAGTGAATTTTTGCCAAACCCAAGGTCACTAAAATTTTCTAATTTTTTTTTCTCCCAAAGGTTTTATAGTTTTAGCTTTTACATTTAGCTCTACGATCCATTTCAAGTTAATTTTTGTATATGGTACGTGGTAAAGGTCAAGGTTCGTTGCTTTTAATAGGGCTGTCTAATTCTTCTAACACTATTTATTGACAATATCCTTTTCACATTAAATTGTCTTGGCAGCTTTGTCAAAAATCAAGTGACCACGTATATATGGATCTATTTCTGTGCTTTCTTTTCTGTTTCATTGATCTCTTTCTGTATCTTTAATACTACACCGTTTTGATTACTGTAGTTCCCTAATAAGACTTGAAATCAGGTAGTATAATTTTTCCAACTTTGTTATTTTTCAAGATTATTTCATCTATTCTAAGTCTTTTGCATTTCAATATACATTTCAGAATTTAGCTTGTCCATTTCTACCAAAAAAGCCTATGGAGATTGTGATTGGGATTGTGTGAATCTATAGCTGAAACTGCAGGAGAATCGACATCTTAATAAAATTACATCTTCTAATCTGTTAACATGATATATGTCTTCATTTATTTAGGTATTTTTAATTAAAATTAATTTTTCTGAGCAATGTGTTGAACTTTTATAGTTCTTGCAAAATTTCTCCTAAGCATTTCATATTTTTGATGCTATTTAAAAATTTTTAATTTTTAAGTAATTCCAGGATATAGAAATATAATCGATTGTTATGTGTTGCTCTTGTATCCTATAACACTGCTGACCTCACTTATCAGTTCTCTCTCTCCCTTTGTTTAAGATTCCATAGATTTTTCTACATAGATGATCGTATTGTCTGTGAATAACAACAGTTTTATTTCCTTTCTAATCTGGCTGTTGAATAAAGGTAGTGAAAGCAGAAATACCTCCCCTTGATCTTAGGGAGAAAGCATTCAGTCTTTCACCATTAAATATGATGGTAGCTGTAGTTTTTATGTAGATGCCTTTATCAGATTGAGGACTTGATCTTCTAGTCCTAACTTGCTGAGTTTTTTTTTTTTTTTTTTTATTGGAGTGGATGCTAAAATTTTCAAGTGCTTTTTCTGCATCTACTGAGATGCCTGTCTGGTTGATTTGTTTTTTTGGTCTGTTAATTAGTTATTGATCAACTTTTGGACTTTAAGCCTGTCTTCTATTCTTGGAATAAAGCCTACTTGGTAGTGAAATATTAGCATTTTTATATATTGTTGGATATGATTTGCTAAAATTTTAAGGATTTTTCCATCTATATTCATGAGGGATATTGGTCTGTATTTTTCTTTTCTTGTAGTGTCTTTGTCTGGTTTTGGTATTAGAGTAATGCTGGCCTCATAGAATGAGTTAGGAAATGTTCTACCTTTTCAATTATCTGGAAAAGTTTGTGTAAAATTATTTTTTATTTCTTCCTTAAAGTTTGGCAGAATTCACCAGTGAAGCCATCTGGGTCCAGAGTTTTCTTTGTAGGAAGTTTTAACTACAAATTCAATTTCTTTAATAGGTGCAGGGCTATTCAAATTACAGATTTCTTCTTGGTTGAGCTTGTTAGCTTGTATCTTTCAAATAATCTGTTGATTTCATTTGATTTGTCTAATTTATTGGCACAAAGTTATTCATAATATTATATCGTTCTCTTAATATGTGTAGACTATGTAGTGATATCACCTTATTCTGATGTTGGAAAATTATGTCTCTTTTTTTCCTGATCAGTCTGGTTAGAGGTTATTAATTTTATTCATATTCTCGAAAAAACCAGCTTTTGGCTTCATTGATTTTTCTCCTTCTTGTTTTGTATTTAATTGCTCCAACCTTTATTATTTCCTTTATTCTTCTTATGTTGTATTTAATTTGTTCTTCTTGTTCTATTTTTATTATGGTAGAAGCTGAAGCAATTCTTGAAAACTTTTTTCTTTGTTAACATAAGTGTTTGGCGTTATAAATTTATCTCTTTGTGTCGCTGTAGCTGCAGTCCACAAAGTTTGATGTATTGTGTTTTCATTTTCATTTAGTTCAAAACACTTTCCAATTTCCCTTTATATTTCTTCTGTGACCCATGGGTTATTTAGAAATGTGTTATTTAGTTTCCAAATATTTGGGTATTTGCTACATCTTTCTGGTTACTGATTTCTAACTTAATTCTGTAGTCACCAGAGAACATTTGACTGGAATACTTTTAAATTTATTGAGTCTTTTCTTTCAGTATTTTAAAGATATTTCTCCCCTGTGTTCTGGATTGCATTGTTTCTTCCTTGTTCCCTTGAATGTAATGTATCTTTCTTCTCTGGATGCTTTTAAGATTTTCTCTTGATCACTAGCTTTAAGTAATTTGATTGTTATATGCCTTGATGTAGTTTTGTTTCTTTTTCTTTTTCCTGAGATTTGCTGACCTTCTTGGATCTGAGGATTTAGAGTTTTCATCAAATTTGGAAAAAAATTAGTAATTATTTCTTCAAGTATTTTTTCTCTAATTCAGTGTTTGCTGCAACTTTATAGAACATAACTACAGGGAATAATGATAACTGACTGTTTTGGCATTTGTACAGAGAAATCATGGATTAAGAACTTAAAGGATGCTTTAGCCTTTTTGACATTATGACAGGCACATGTGGAGTGGTGATATTTTGGGTAGTTTAACCCTTACATCGAACCATTTCCCAGTCAACCGTAGTATATGATGCAAAGATGAGCTTTCTTCCTGCTGACCCAGGGGTCTGAAGTTGTGTTTTCATGTCATTCATTTTTTCCCCTATTCTGAAAGGATCTCATGCCAGACTCTCCACCAAGCACACAGGCTTTGAGGAGGGAGTTTACAACATCCCAATCCACATCAATGATGGTGGTCGGCCACCCTTGGAAGGGACTGTCTCTTTACCAGGTGTGTATTTTGCTGCAGGCAACTTGGGGTAATGTTGGTCACCATGGGTAGTTTGAGAGAATTCTTATCTTTGATTTGGGATTCTGCAACTCTTCACTTGAACATTTATCCTACCACATACTGTTCTGCTTTTTAGTTACTTTCTGCACGTGTATGGAAGGAACGTGTTTCCGGCCAGCAGGTCACCTGGCTGGGATACCCACTGTGGGCATGGCGGTTGGTATACTCGTGACCACCTTTCTGGTCCTTGGTGAGTATGATTTCTCAGACCCAAAGGTTTCTGTCCTGGGCCTCAGAAATATGAGCTCACCTCAAAGTCTGTCTTAATGGGCTGGTCTGGTGGCTGCTCAAATGGCAACCTAGGCACTAGCCAAGAATGTAGATCACCAGTCAATCAAATCAGACTTTCCCGGTTGGGAGACACTGCGTTAGCACCACCATCTACCTGTCATTGCTTTGTTGTCTATTTTGGGAAATATAACACGAGAGGCTTTAAAGCATAAATTATGTTTTATGCTAGTCACCAAGCTTTTGTAATGAAAGACAAAGAAATGCAAGAGCTGTGCCCCTGCTGTGTGTCAGGCACTCTGCTTGATGTGCGGGATACAATGATGGGCAAGACATACAAAGATCCTGCACTCCCAGAGCCTTATGATCTAGTCTCCTATCACTGGAACAGGTAGAAGTTAGCCTTCTGATGGAACGCCGACATACCTGAAATGTTGCAGAACTTCCCTCTGTATATCTTCATGACTGTGGACCCTGATTCTTTATTACCCCAGAATAATTCCATTCTGGCTTGGCCCCTGGCCTGGCTGGACAGCAGAGTCCCCTATTCTAGCTGTCTTCATTTTTGTGAACAGCTCAGTGCCTGCTATATGATAATGCTCTTTCAGTTGTCTTGGCCGCAAGGTAAGAATTAGAAATAGATACTTCGTCAATTCATGTGCACTGAGTGAAGGGGTTTGCACAGTTTCACATCCTTTCTCTTTTAAAAGAGGGACTGGGATTACTCTAAGTATTCTTAATTGTTCTCTCAACATCTGGTCTTTCCTTCCATGACCCAATCTGTCGCATTGGACTGATTCACAACTCTAAGAGGAATCTCATTTGCTTATACCCTTCCATCTAAATTGCTCATTATTATGACATGGAAGGGACTTTATGATGTGGCCATTACCCATCCTAACGTGTGCATGGTGACCATCATTTCTCCCTGAGGACTACAGTCTGGTGCACACCTTTCATATTAATTAAGTTGGCTTTTTGAGGTCCACTCACCAAGCTCCCCATACCTCCATGCCTTTTCTTATTCTATTTGTCCACCCATCTTGAAAAGATTTTTGAGTTTATGCACCAAATATCAATTTTCTAACATGGCCATTTAATCCCATAATTTTACCACAAATTAGAGTATGGATGAGTTTGGGGATATCTAGAGATAGAAGTAATAGGATCGTACAGTTTCATATTCTTTTTTCAAAATAGGATTGGGATTATTGCAAGATTCTTAATGGGTCTCTGAGCATCCAGTCTCTCTGCCATGATTCCTCCTGTAAATTTACTGCCAGGTTAATTTCCTTAAAACAACTTCCTTTTTCATATTGGTCTCTGATTAACAGTATGTGTTTAGTGATAAAAATGCACAACGTAATTTTGTAGGAGTTCGGAGATGGGAGAAACCAGAGAGGTTAGGTAGTCTACTCAAGCTGGAGCCATGAGGAAGGTGCCAAAGAAAATGTGATATTTCGTGTCACGGTGAAAGTAGGCTTTCAGTAGGTGAACAGGTCAGAGAACAGCTTTTTGGTTGTTCTGATTGGACTTTTTCCTCTAAGGAAGGGGAAGAAGGACTAGAATCAACATTTATCGAGTATGTGCAAAGTTCAGGAACTCTATCAGATGCTTATACACTTAGTCTTCAGAGTGGTGCAGGCGCTAGGTCCTATATTCCTTGATAGAGACCCAGCAATGGCCACCAGCTTAGATATGATTTGGGACTTGATACATACTTACTGACAACAAGATAAGTGATAAGCTTACTCATCCAAGAAACTAATGCCTAGAATCTCTTATTCACCAGGACAACGAAATGTTGTTGAACCACAAACAAAAATGAAGTTACATGAGTCATTTTTTCCTACCAGGGTCCTGCATTATAAATGAATGTGACAGTACATTTTAAGATTCCAGCCATTTGACCCTGAGTTTTCTCTTTTAGGTATAATTTTAGCAATTGTGTTTATACGAATGAAGAATAAAGGCAAAGACAGTGTCAAAAGTGCTCAGGCATCTGAAGTCAAACCTCTGAGAAACTGAATTTGAAAAGGAATGTTTGAGTTTATGTACCAAGTGCTATTTCAGTAACACAACTGTTTAATCCCATAATTTTACATTTCATCCAACATGTGCACTATAATTTTTCACAGATACCCTTTTGCCCTTTAATGTTTTATTACTCTTAGATATTTTGTGTGCTATAAACATTAGAGATATTTCCCATGACACTTTTTCCCTCTGCAAAAGCCTTAGCTATTTATCCAAAAACAAAATGTGTGTGTCTTTCCCCTCTAGGGAAAGATGGGCTGATGAGATATTCTGTTCATTTTTTCTTCATTGAGGAGGTTTGTCAGTTGTCCACCACAAAATTTCTAGGATTCCATTTCTGCTTTATCTGATTCCATTCTCCTTCCTCATGTCTCCTTTGGCATTTTGCTAATTTTAAAACTTTTGTTGGAGAAAAGAACAAAGTGGAATCTAAAGGGAAAAAAAAAGGGGGCAGACTAGTCCCTCAGTTTGAACAGAAACTCTTCGGTGTTATCAGCCTTCTTTAGTCCCGTGTGGCTTATGTTGCTCTTCGTTTAAGGTTTTACCACTTGGGAATGGCACAAGGCCACCACATAGCCCTTGGTGTGAAACAAACACTGACTGGTCTACTCACCACCTACCATGCTTACATGCTGCGCGTGTTTTCTTGATGTGTATGTTAATAAAGTTCTGGTTATTGTATATTTAATGTGTGGAGGAAAATAAAGAAGCACGAAAGAAGTAGTGACAAAAATCAAGAATAAAAGTTGGCTGTGCTTGTTTTTGTTTTCCGAATCTCTTTGGCTCTGCTTCCTCGTTCTTTGCATTTGCTGAGGGAAGGACTGGATACCAATGGTTACCTATTATTTATCAGAATTGTCTCCCACGTAGAACTAGCTCAAAAGGAGGGTCTACCATGAAATAAAAATTCACCGCTCTCATGACTGTAGATTGAGGGGTACGAGGCAGATATGCTAGGAATTTTAAAAATTTAAATAAGAGAACTTTAGAGATTTGAAAGCATTTCTGGGCCCATGGCTGTCGTCTGGCTCCTGAGTCTGGCTCCTGATTTGAGCTTTGGAAGCATTCAACATTATATAACTTCTTTGAATTTTCAAGAATTTTCTGCAAAAGAACTGGAGTCTAAAAAGGTGCTGTTACAATGATGGCTGAAGCAGGCCACAGAGTTGTATTTTTCATAAATAATCCTCTTTGTGAGCATCTGTTATGCTGTTTTTGTGTGTATGTGTGGAAGACTGGCCCTGAGCTAACGTGTGTTGCCAATCGCCCTCTTTTTGGTTGAGGAAGATGGTCTGTGAGCTAACATCTGTGCCCACCTTCCTCTACTTTTTGTATATGGGTCACCGCCACAGCATGGCTTGATGAGTGGTGTGTAGGTCTGTGCCCAGGATCCGAACCCACGAATCCCTGTCCGCCAAAGCGGAGCACGCGAACGCCGCTGGGCCAGCCCCTCTATTATACTTTTTAAAGTCAGAAAAAGTAAAACAAAAGAAAATATCCAATCTGTTTCTAAGACCTCAGTATTGCTTTCTTATATATCATCCTGTGTTTCAAACTCTTTTACCTGTTTTTTTACACATTGGAAGTCTCATAATGTGTAAGGTTCTCTCCTGTCTCACCACACATTAAAAGACAAAACAAAAGAAAACAAAAAACCAAGAGCACCAAAAGCAAACTTACTTCACAAATTATATCCCCATCTAAGGAATAGTCCAACTTGCTCAGCAGTTTCTATAGGTATTTTACTTGTGTATTTTTGACCAAGAGTGGCTGTGATGTGACATTTAGGTCACTTAAAATCGCGTTATTGCTTTGCCTGCTTATTTTCAAGAAATCATATTATCATTACTAAAGACTGAGGCAGTCCTGAGGCAGGTCTGCTGAGGTGGGCAGGGGTCTCTCCTGCCTCAATTCAGTGTTGTCTTCTTTGGACCGAGTTGTATGACCTAATAATAGGCTGATCACACAGAATATCTTCTCATCTAAAATCATTGATTAGTATTCATACTTTTTGTGCTGTTTTTCCCCAGGTGGGCCCTCCCTCTCAACCTTCTCTTCCTTCCATGACCAGGTCTTACCCATTTTTAAGGGCTTAAAGATCAGTTTACATATTCTTCCCTCTGGGAAGTCTCCTCTGATTTCCTACAGGAGACCAGGCCACTGCCTCATCTAAACTTCTACACTGTGATGAGGAAAATTGTCTGGCCGGAAACCATTCCCTCTTCTGGTAAGAGCAGTTCCATTTCCCACCAGGAAACATCCCCCTCACCCCCTACTCAGTCTATATAGGATGGGTAGACTCAACCCTCTGTTTTTCTCCATCCCCCCAGCTCTAGAGATGGGCACTTTATTTCAGTGAGACTCACTTCTAGAATTTTACTGAAACTTTAGGAAAAGAGCTCTCTTTATATGGAATTTGCTAAACTAGTAGGAAGCAGTCTTAGAGCATTCCAGTTACCACAAGAGGTGAGCCTGCCCCAGAATGAGGACCACAGACAGTCAAGAGATGAGAGGAGAAAATTGGGGAAATAGTGAGTACCTGGATCCAGCTGTGTCTGAAGGCAAGCTTGCCCTGGACTTTTCCATCCTGTGAGCCAGTACATTCCTTTTTTACTTAAAGCTCAATTTATTTCTGCCCCTTGCAACCAAAAGAGTGGATATTTGTACCTTGCTTATGGCCCTTCTCATGTTCTACAATTAGTGCCCATTTGATCACCCCAACTAGTCTGGGACTTCTCAGAATCCTCTCAATGCCACTATGACAAGTCTTGGCTCATAGTGACTCCTCCATAATTTCTTGAAGAATGAATAAATGCAATAGCTAATTTGTTTTGGCTACTTATGCTGTTGTCATTTAAGTGTCACCCATTTGACAAAATTAGTACTAACTCCTTCTTTGTGTTCACTTACTGTATCCTCAAAGACTCCTTCAACTCCCACTTCACCGCCTTCCTTTTCCCGACATTCAGACATTCTCAAGCTGGCTGTAGTGCCAACTGAGGCCTGTGAGTGACAAAGCCCCCCAAGAATTTCTGGGTGGTTAAGAAATAACTGTGAGACTGAGAGGGTCTCAGAGGTGGGCATGGAACGTATAGGTGGCAACTCTTGTGAGCAGCTATGAAGAAAGTCTCAGGTGTTTCTGGGAGCAGTAAATCGAGTGGAGATCTCAGGGTGCTGGTCCATGATCTAGGTAACCCTCAGGCAGGAAGCTGAGACTACCTTTGAAGTATCTAATGCAGGGGGAAACGATTTGCCTCCAGGATCCTGTACAATGCTATGTGAGTCATGGGAGCTTGTTAAACTTGGAACTTTAAAAGTACATGAAAAGAGGGCCGGCCCCATGGCCTAGCAGTTAAGTGCGCACGCTCTGCTGCTGGCGGCCCGGGTTCGGATCCCGGGCGCGCACTGACGCACCACTTCTCAGGCCATGCTGAGGCCGCGTCCCACACACAGCAACTAGAAGGATGTGCAGCTATGACATACAACTATCTACTGGGGCATTGGGGGGAAAATAAATAAATAAATAAAATCTTAAAAAAAAAAAAGTACATGAAAAGATAGGATAGCTTACAATTCAACTTAAAAAACATCATTTAAACTATTTTGAAGTATGTAGTTCAGTGGCATTAAATACATTCACATTGCTGTGCAATCACCAACACTATCCATTTCCAGGACTTTTTCATCTTCCTAAATGAAACTTGACCCATTAAACAGTAAGTCCCCATCCCATTCCTTTCCCCAGCCCCTGGCAACCACTATTCTAACTTTTCTGTCTCTATAAATTTGACTGTTCTAGGTACCTCATGTGAATGGAATCATACAATATTTTTCCATAATTTCAATGTTTTTAAACAGGTTTTAAAATAGTAACTGAGAGAGAAAAAGAGAAAGTAGCAAAAGAGAAAGTAGAAACCTACAAGTTACCTCATGAGGAGACTATCTCAAGGCTAATGCTATTTTTTATTTTGTCTGCATTCATATATGTCACACACATCGTATACACTTAAATGTATGTTTTACACACCTGTGAAGATAGCCACACAATGTAGACAGGATGCATGTGAGCTTCCTGTGGTGAGGAAACAAACGTGCTTGCGTTGCTCCCACCTTTCCCTCACAAAAGCCTGTCTCATTCTGGCTGAGTCCCAAGAAGTGCGGCAGCTGTTGGATGACCAGTTCTCTACTGCAGGGGTTCTCAAGCACCTGGGGGAGTGTTTCAAAAATACTCATTCCAGGGCGCCATCCCCAACTGAAGTAGCATCTCTGGGCAGGCGGCCCTCGCTTTAGTATTTTTAAAAAGCTCTCTGAGTGATTCTGATGTGCAGCCACAGCTGAGAGCCCTCATTCCAGACAATCGCCGGAGGGCCAAGTTGGTACCAGGCTGGTGTGGAATACGACCCCTTTTAGGGTCTGAATCAGCGTCTTTCTTCAGAACATCGGCTCCCTACTCCTCTCCAATTTCTGGGCACCCTTTGCCCTAACCAGTCCTGCCCAGACCCTTGCCCAGATGCAAACACGGACGATGAGTGACCAGAGCTCAGGGAAGGTAGCAGTCGGCTGCCGTCAGGAGACCACACAGAGATCCTTCAACTAAGAGCGGCCTGGTGGGTCCAGACCCAGGTCTCTCTGCCACCACCTCGGAACCTGCGAGCTCCAACCATGAAGGCAACAAGAAGGAAGCTGGTTTCGCCTGCAGGAGAGCAGCCTCTTTGTATGCCAGAGCTGAGCAATGAGCGGCAATGCTTCATGTGTCACCATAGAGGCATCTCTCAAAAATTACTCTAAAACACACATTGTGTAAAATGACCCTCTTGTGCTTGTGGTTGGAGAGTTGGCTGTTTAAAGGAATATTATGGACAATGTAAAAAACAAAGAATGTTTTTTATAACACAATTACTTCCCATTATATTGGTTTTCCATTTTTACATACTAGCAAGATACTCCATTCGACATTTCAAAACGATTTCCTGAGTATGTGCTATGTGTTAGTCATTTGTAAGCCATCTGGGCCCTTAAGACAAGGAGGACGGCCTCCTGAGACCGTAAATAAGTCTAAAGGGTAAGGGGCTGCCTGGAATCCAGGTCTAATAATGTTGATGGCTAAAGCAAGTCATACTTGAGGACTCCACGAGTTATTTGTCTCCAATAATCATTGGTTTCTTTGGACAGAAACCAAAGCCCCCTTTTTTTCACGCGATTCTCGTCCTGGGAGAGCCAGCTGAGTGGGGAGTGAGACAGGAACGGCGTGTGAAGAGAGGCAGGGTATAGAAACCAGCGGTCATCTGACTGAGAGAAAGCATTTTCATTTTTTCCATTGCAACAGTTGGGCTGATGTGTAAGCCCCAATTTGAAAGGCTGCATTTGGAAGAGGAGGAGGGTGTGCACATGGGAGGTGGGAGTAAAAATAGCATGTGTGTTTACCCAGCATTTTTA